TTACTATACTAATTAGAAAACAACGAGAATTTCAATTTAAATTATTGCATGGAGCCATATACAGTGTGAGCCAAAAAAAAGTTTATACCTAGAAAATTGCTAATTATTTTAAAAATCATCTATGAAGTGTAATTGAATATACATTTTATGAAAGAGCGTTTTATCCCAAATCATTTGGTATCAATTTTGTGTGGTATGTGTTCACGCTTGGATGAACATGAGGCATTGTTTACGAGAGTGCAAAAATCGATTTGCGCCAAAGTTGCTTGTGTGATGTTTGAATATAGCAATTGGGATTTGGGTATTAATTCGGTCTTTGAAGATCCAAATAACATCCCTAACAAAATTAATCATGCCACACATATCAAATATCAACAAATATGTGTGCGCGTGAGTGTGTGTGTGTGCGCGTGTGTGTGTGCGTGTGTGTGTGACTTTGCTTCTGCAAAAAGCATATGCAATGCATTTCATTTGATACATTCAATTCATTCTCTCACTCCGCTAATCCCAACATAATACATGCTGTAGGCATCACTTTGGCGCAAGTCGATTTTTGCACTTTCGCAAACAATGCCTCATGTTCATCCGAGCGTGAACACATACCACATAAACATGATACAAAATGATTTGGGATAAAACACTCTTTCATAAGATGTATACTAATTTACTGTTCATAGATGATTTTTTTAAATAATTAGCAATTTTCTAGGTTTAAACTTTTTTTTGACTCACACGGTATACTAATGAGCATCTTCATAGATTTGGTTTTGTTGGTGATAATTTATGTTCGTTTTGTAAGCAGGAAACAGAAACATACAATCATTTATTTTTATCTTGCCGGAGCGTTCAAAGGATATGGCAGGCTTTAGTACAACTTTTTGAGTTAGATGAAATTAAAGATTTAGAATGGCGAGATATATTTGTTGGGTTGGCAGGTAGTTCATATAGAATAAAAATGTGTAATACTATCATTTTCATGGTGAAATATGTTACATTTATGTCAAGATCGGGGGGGGGGCGAGTACCAACTTTAGACAAGATGAAACAAATCATTTTTAAGTATAGGGATGAGGAAAATAAATTAGCAATTAGAATAGGAAAGCTGGGATCACATTTCTTAAAGTGGGAGCAGCAGCTTAAGATTAATTAAGATATGTTTTCTTCTCCAGCGTGAGCCTGTTAAAAGTGTAACTCTATTTTGCGGCCTGGATAACTTACTTATTTAGTATATTTTCCTTGAGTTGAGAATGTTAGCAGACATCCACTGAGTGAGTAGTGTATGTGTTTTGGGGGGGGGGGGGGTAGGTTGGTGGGTGAGTATGTGTTGGGTGGGTGGGTGGGTGGGTGGGGGTGTTTGTGTGAGGGAGGGGGGCAGGGAGGAGCAGGCATTGTTCCAGTAAAATTACCTCCAGATTAAGTTTTTTTTTTTTATATAAGTGAATAACATTTACAATTGACATATATATTATGTTTAGGTACTTATACGTTTACTTTGTTACTAAGTTATATATACTGCAAATAAGTTTTTGTTTAATTATGTTTATTTAAAAGCAATCAATATTGAACACGTTTATTTTATTCAATTGTATGTTATGGTTTGTATTACACATTCGGAGATATAAAACAAAATTGCTTTTTAAAAAAAAAGTGTTTGTGGGTGACCTTGGATGGATGTGGATATACAGTTAACAACAACATTATACCTCTTGTAAATTGTATTTTTTTGTGTTTTTTGTAACTCACTGAGTCGTTGCGAAATTTTCGGACCGATTTATAAATGTTAACCTCCCCCCTTGAAAAAATCCTGCGTACGCCACTGATACTTATATGTAAGCTTTAATATGTCATTTTCTCAGGAAACATAAATCGGGACAATTTTCACATAATAAAAAATACAAAATTTGGTAAGGGTATGAATAATTAATTTGTTTACTCTATATTGAAAGTGTTGTGTGTGTAAGACACATTTGTTCTACGGACATATAATAAATTGGCTTCAAAACTGGAAACCCCTCGAAAAATGTTATTATGCAAATTTATTACTTGTCTTATTTATTTTATTTTTTTCATTTTTTACTATAATTCATGGAAGTAAGAGGTCTGTTTGTACATATTCAGTGATATTTGGTTAACAAAATGAAGATCAGCCTTTTTGAAAAAGTTTATCAGAAGCATACAGAAAACAGAATTTCGTGTGCGCCTTTTATTTAATCTTATACATATTTTATACAATAAAAGACAAGATTCTACAGGTAGTCGGATGGCTTAGTGAAATTACCGTTTCATGCCGGATTAAAGCGTCATATTTTGTAAAACGCTTAGAGACATTAGGCGCTATATAAAAACTAAATATTATTATATTATTTTTGGTACAAGGCTTCCTTTGGACCTACTGAACGATGTTAGGCTAGGAGCCCCGGCAAAATTTGACGTGGGGAGGAGGCGTCGATTCGGAGCCCCTAAATAAATTAGAAGGTAACATAATATTGATTTGTTGTTGTACCAATGCCTTTTTTTGGTACAGGGCTTTCTTAGGACCTACAGAACGATATTAGGGTAGGAGCCCCCGGTAGGAATTTCATATAAGGGTGTGGGGGCGGGGGCGTCGCCTCGTAGCCCACACATAATTTATAAGGTGATATAACATTGAGTATTTGTTGTACAAACGCCATTTTTGGTACAAGGCTTGCTGAATGATGGTAGGGTATTGTAATCACAATCATACCAATGTCTAAAAATGGTGTATGTTCCGGTTTGTAGATGGCCCCCTTTTTCAGAAAGTGCCATGTCATCAATAGCGTTGCTATAGGGGGCATGGGGCACGTACTTGAAATCCCCCCAATCGAAAAGTAGAAAACGACCAGAAAAAAGAGAAAGAGAAAACAGGAAAAGAAAGGGAGATTGAAAATGAGCGTAAACATACTGATGATAGGACCCCTCCCACACCCCTCCCACACCCTCCCCTAATCTCGTTGATTCACCTTGTAGAATCCATGATTCCGCTGAAGTACTGGCCGCCCAACACGTATTCCAAGAGGATTGGCATGCGGCCAGTCAGACTTTTTTACTAAGTAGCCCGTCTGAATTGAGGTTTTGGCTTTTATGGGCTAGATTACTATAATTTCAATAGGATAATTACACACGATGATGCTTAATAGTCTGAAAATAAGACTTTTTGTTTGTAAACAGAACAACAACACAAAGGATTGAAGTGGACAGGATTAACGCCGGGGATTAACCTTAAATCAGAACTCTGGGAGGAATGGTATTCATAGCAGCCTAAAGGGTTGAATTATGTCATGGAATAAAAAAAAACGTATCAAAGCATCAAAACAAAAATACATTTACGAAACTGGGATGCGAGATTTAACAAAAAAGAAAGTCTTCCTTTTTTGTTAAATCTCGCATCCCCTCTTAGAGGGAAACGACATAAGTGGGAGAAAGTTTAAAGGGAAATAAGATGGAAATTTACATAAAAGAATACAAGACACCTGTGTATATAATGGTAACCTGTATTCTCTCCCTTTATGAAGAAACTTGTGTTGTAGAACCTGTCAAGTAAGGCCACCTGTTTACACTGGTCAGTTTCCCTGTTTCCCTTGGATGGCCTTAATAGACATGTTTGATAATAGTACCTGCTCTGTCATAAAACAAATGAATAGATGAATTAGAGTTTATACTTCGTGATGCCTTCTAATTTTGACAATAATCAAAACTAGTTCTCAAGATGATGGTTGGAAGATTGAGAGAAGGAGGGAAGTACGCATGGAAGAGACAGAAAGAGATAATAAAAGGGGATAAAGACAAGAAGATTTATAACAAAGTTATCACAACAGAACAAATGAGAAAATATCGAAAAAAGCATATGAAATCATGAACCATAATGATTGCATTTTTTCTTTGGGGTGCTAAGGATGAAAAGTCACAACTCCTCAGTAGAAAGTCCAGTATTCTCTGCCCCAGGGATGTAACAAGCAGGCGCGTACGCAGGAGGGGGGGGGGGTTTAATTTTTTTTTATATTATTATTAAAAAAAATTAAAAAATGCCAATGGCTGACCTAAAAAAGGTTACCTTACCCCCCCCCCCCCCCCAACGGAGCAAAATGTCAAATTTTCAAATTTCTAGACCAAAAAAAAAAGAAGTGTCCTCTTCCCCCCCCCCCCCCCCCCCCCCCCCCCCCCGCTTATTCAGCGGCTGGCTGAGTCGTTGCGAAATGTTATCTTTGATATTTCCCGCTCAAGGGCAAGTCATGATAAAACGTTTATTTAAATGTGACGTTTAGTTTACGCAATCTTTTATAATGGAACGACCTTACAAATTAGAGGCCAGTAATGAAGGGAATTTTTTCCAAAGTAAACCAATTCAGGAATTCAAGAGGACTGTGAAGTCTTAGATGTTTCGATAACCTTATGCGAGACACGACCTGCTTAAAGAATTTGAAACTTCCAATAGTAGGGCGGCCGTCACATTATTTGGACAAGGTGTTTTTTAAATCTCTTTTCTTGCTGTTTTTTTCCTTGTTGTTTTGTTATGTTATTTGTTAAGATAACAACAAGTGATTTTACATTGTTGCACATAGGGACAGACATGTTGTTGGTCATATTGTGCGTGTGTGTGTGTGTGGGGGGGGGGGGGGCGGTGGTTACACGGACAAAGGTCTAGGATAGGACATTGAGTGAACGTTTTCAGTGATCATGAAAGTCACCCCTATGCTCCTCCAAGTTTCAATGACCAGAATCCATGTATAAAATCATATTTGATTTTGTATCACTTTATTATCAATCTTCAATAAAGGAACATAGTATAAACATAAAAGAACTGCACAGTCACAGACATATAATAAGAGTAGTCCAGGTCATGGCTCATAATTGCCAAAGTTATTACTTGCTCCTAAAGTAGCAAGAGTTAAGAAGGAGAAACAGAGAAAGCAAGAGAGAGAAAGAATGGGATTAAAGGAGAGAAGAGAGAGAACAACAACAACAATAACCCTGTTTTCACGAAGTGACGGTAGTGAGGAAAATCGCATACATTTTCACTTTTGATTTTTTTGCATTTTTGGACATCATTCACTAACATCTTGAACCTCACAAAATTTCAGATCATAATAATGTCTAATTATGTCACTATGACGATGACGTAAACAAGAAAATGCATAGCAAAAGGATTTTCTGTTTTCACGAAGTGACGGCCAAGTACGCGCTTAACAGCCGTCAATTCGTGAAAACATCGTTTGCTCTTTTCCTGCTTTTAATATTTTCACGAAGTGACGGTAGTGAAAATTTCGCAGTTTGGAACAGTCACAGACCATGAAAAGGTGAGTTTTTAAACATTTTTTTAGGGTAAATTAATGTGGTACGCTCTTTTGATTCATTCTGATTCTTTGTAAGCCATAAATATGTCCATGAGCACAGAAATGTGTGAAAAATACACCGCCGTTCCACATTTCGCCCCATATACTTATTTTCATGTAAGTGAATAAAGGAGTGAAGTATCATGTGATCCAAAACTAAAAAGATCAACTTAGACTTAACAAATATGCATCTAGACCAAATAACTTAAGTGGAGAGTCTTTCTTATTTTGCTCCACACCAAATATTAATGCTATAAGGTTCTTTTTATATCTGCTTAAGTTATAAATTTGAACAAAGTTTTACAGAAAGTTAGAGAGTAGATCTAGATCTAGACTCTAGAGACTAGAGTTTTACTTTTATTTTTTCAGTAATTTACTATTTAGCTAATTATAAATTTGATATAGAGTCTAGAACTCTAGTTACTCTAGATCATCATTTTATAATTATCAGTTTATGTCAGCCACTACTCATCAATCTAGAATCTAGAGGTGAGAAGATCAGGATCTCGACAAGACAGACCTTTCTTGTAAGGCGCGCGTGCCTGGGGTTTAAGAAATTTCAGGGCTCCAAGCCCAAGGCCAACATCAACATGGCCAAGGGCAAAGGGAGTTATGAAAATTATCATCATGCTGAGCTGAGATGACCTGGGATGTAGCCCCTCCTGGTTAACTGTTAGTGTTAGGGAATTCAATGATTTGCCTTTCAAGCAAAGAAGGACATGGATGAACATTTAATTAAAAATTGAAAATTAGATACGGTCCTGCCCTGAAAATGAATAAATGGCACCATCCGAAAAAGGAATACTTTTTTTTTGAGACTGGAGTAATCACGAGTAGTCTACCTTTTGGGGAACAATGTCTACATGTTTAGCTTAGTTTTTCTCGTTATCTGTACTCTGTGTCTGTTATATTCAAAGGCAGCATTTTACTTTAGTACCCTTGGTCCCTCACCCTATACAAAAATTATTTTAAACAATTGTTCTTGATACCAGCAAATGTTGCCCAACTCCACTTCGTGTTTTAAAGAATTTTCATAGCAAGCACCATACCAGATGATGTACATGTCTCACTACCTACACTTCAGTGGTAATGAAATTATGATGATGTTTTTGCTTTCACTTAGTTTCAGATGCAGTAGATACAATTTGCACTTATATGAAGGAAGCACTGGGAAAGTACATCTACTTTTCAAGAATGCCACAGGCCAGACACAAATCCAGGTGAGAATAGTTTCATGATCTGTTCAAGAAAATCACACTTTAGCAGCAAAGTACTAAAGCACACTCACTGCTTATGTGCATAGGGGTAGTTGTTGTTTGGTAGGGGCAATTGGAAAATTCTATTTTGGGGTAATAGGGGCAATTGAAAACTTCTGTTTGGGGTCAGTTATGCCTATTAATTAATTTGATGTACAAAAGATAATATTGGATTCATTTCCTTACCTCTGCTTGCAAAAAAAATGAAAGAAAATAACTTGTAATTATTTCTTTCACTCTACAAAATTAGATTGGATACAGGGACCGACATGCTGGTAAGATGGGTCCTTGATAATTCACTGAACACAGAGCTGCAGATGTGACTCGGCATAGTGACCTAAGAGTGGGAGCGGTATGGAACCGTTGAAGCAATTCACCGAACACTGTTGAAGCAATTCACCGAACACAGTCAGAGCTGCATGTGTGACTTGGCATGGTGACCCTTAAAGTCTCCTGACGGCTCCGATTGCGATTCTGATGATGACCCATTTAGTGCTGTAGTCAAACGTTTAACCGTCCGGTATCCGACCGCCCATGGCGGATTCCGTTTTCAATTGGACGGTTTCGTTTTCCCGTTTTTTTTTTTTTTTTTTATAATTTTTTTTTTTTTTTTTTTTTTTTTTTTTTTTTTTTTTTAAAAGTTTCGATTTATGCCCCTCCACCTGGCACTATGCCTGGCAATGTCTCCCAGCTCAGTAATCGATGTGATGACTTACCACTTGGAAACTAGAACAACACTCCAATTTGTCTGTCATCTTGGTTTGAAAGTAATCTTTGTAATAGATCTCAATATATATTCATCCAAGTTTAACACATGGTGTACCACAAGGTTCTATCCTAGGTCCTCTACTGTTTTTAATTTACTTTAATGATCTTACACATTATTCTAAAACGACATTGTTACTATTATTTGTGACTAGTTCACAAGCACAAATCGGCGCCTTCAGTTAAATCACCTTCCAGCTTTTTCACACGGACAACAACAAAAAAAAAAAAAAAAAAAAAAAAAAAAAAAAATGATTTTTTTTTTTTTTTTTTTTTTTTTTTTTTTTTTTTTTAATAAATCGTTTAACCGAAAACCGTCCGGTTTTGACAGGCGGTTAAACGGAATTGGAGATATCCGTGATGTTACAGCACTAGACCCATTGTCTATGCTTGTGAGCGAGTCAAAAGGTATCTTTTTTCCTTCTTGATTGTTTCCCAATAGTTAAAATTTAAGATATTCTTAATTGTTTTTAATGCTTAGGTCTCTTAAGTTAAGGGAATGAGTGGTCCTATCGAGGTCAGCATTAATTTTTTTTAAATCCTTATAAAAAAATTCCAATACTAAGGTGATACCACATAAAGTATTTAATTTATTAAGAGACTCTCTAAAATTGGGTACCAAAACTACACATAATAATTTTGCCCAATCATAATGCACTGTAAAGTTTCCCTTTCATAATTGAAATTCTGATAATGATTTTTTATTGATTTTGACTTGGACTTTTTTTATTATGATTTTTCTTTCTCTTATTTCCTTTTACTTTCAAGCAGTCTAGATCAAGGATCTTCTCTGCTTCAACCACTATCGCTTGGATGACATTATGTGTGAAGAAACTTGAAGGACTTGTGTTGAAGGGCATGCTTGAGAAACTAGAATCAATTACATTGATCGTTTTGGCAATGCTTCAATGTTTCAATACCTCAATCTCTCTTTTATACTGTTTGATTTTAAACATTTTGAATATCATAAATAAAGCAAACTCCACTCATAATTGTAATTGTGTGTACTAGTAATTACAATGAAATGGATTGATTATAAAATCAATGAATTGATTTAAAGCAAACTGGTAACATTTTCCATGAGTTCTGAAACAATTAACTGAATGGTCGTACAGGTGTCAGTTTTCTGTTACAGTATTGTAATGAACTCCTGCAAACATAAATCTTTAATATTCAAATGTATAGCTCAGAACTTCTATTTATCAGGTATACCTACCTCGATCAGTAATGCATATTAGAGTTTTCGATTCCAGTTCCATGAATCCTCATATTGTATCTTTGTATTGAAGAATTTGTTTATCCATTTTCTTTAAATGTTTGTATTCACAGGGGTTGATGCCTTCATTAGAACATGAATATAAGTTACATTTCAACAATTGGTTTTTCTCTCAAAACACAATGTTACAAGTTCACATTTAATGTTTTAATTTATTACTTCTATAGTCATTCTCATCATAATTGTATTTGGTACTTCAAACTATCCTATAATGATCATAAAATATAATGTTGCTGTTTTGAATTGTATCTGTTTGATGAGAAATGAAATTGTTTAGTCAAATTGATATTTCCATGTTTATCATGCATTGTTTAGCTGATAATAGTTTAGTCAGAGATTACGTGTTTACCTGGGTGAAGACAACCTTTAAGCGTTGGTAAACTTTGTAGCGTTTGAGACTGTGTACTAAATTTCATTGAAATACCTTAGAAAGAGATTGTGTAAACTGACTTGGTTCTGATACTCTACTCACAAGATATTTATGAAAAACAGTGATGAACAAAAAAGTAACGATGATGATTATATTAGTCATTTTTCCCATTGAAAAACTTCATGATACATGTAATACATGTTTGTCGAGCATTTTGTATGTCACGTGGCATTTACTCGCTACGATTGCTGAATAAACATGATAACCAAGTCGTATATAAAGAATTAGATAAAGACATTTTAGCATATTTACAAGTACTGTATAATGAATGAAATAACCTTCGTATTCCGTGGATGTATAACTGATGAGTCTTTTCCACAAAACCCTAAATGTACATTTTAAAATGCAATACAGTATTGATGATAATTGATGATGATATGTTTGGTATGAATTATTTAATATTTTTGAATTTATGCTCCATTTTCCACTTGCTGTTCTGGTTCAAAATGTTTGAATTAAAACTGCTCAGTCAAAATTCATTTTCTGTGTTTATATTGCAGAGTTGAGTAGTTAACTACAGATTATGGTCAATTATCAATACTGAATCTTTTTCCTTCATTCAAAAATATTTCTTAACATATTTGCTTTATTTCCTATCTGAAAAAATATATTTAGCTAGGCCCCTCTCTAAAATTTTAGAAATTCCTCATAGTAATAGAGTAGCAAACGCCCTGATATCACTTGCATGAATTTCAACAAGAAATGGCAGAATTTGTGTGATATAAAGGGGAGATGGAGGGGGTAAAGAGAGAGAGAGAGAGAGGGAGAGAGAGAGAGGGAGAGAGAGAGATAGAGGGAGAGAGAGAGAGGGAGAGAGAGAGAGAGAGAGAGAGAGAGGGGGGGGAGGCTACTTGAACGTGTTCTTAAGTGGAAAGTATATAGTAACTTTAGTGTAATCGTTAGTCCCTATACATACAATGTACCTGATAATTAAACCTCAAATAATATTAAATACATATCCACTTTTAGCTTAAGATTAAAGAGAATAGCTTATTAATCATTTTAAATGCACTTAGTGCCAATATCCATCTGTGCTATTGATAGTTAATTTATTGTGAGCCGTAGCTTCGTGAACAAAAACTGACATCATACATCTAACCTCATAATTATACAAAGAAGAAAATTAAGGTGCTCTTATTTTATCCATACATATATTAAACAAGTAATTTTGCCGTATTTCAGTGTCTATCTCATGAAATTGATTCACACAATAAAAATCCCATATGTTTTATACGCGCTCGGCTACGAGCCGTCACTTCGTGAAAACAAAATACAAGCGTTCTGCGTGATTTGTGTTTTCACGAAATGACGGTTAAGTTAAAAGTTCATACAGAGACATTCAGTTTATTCTTATCAATAAAAAAAAATAGCTACCAAACGAGGAAAATGTACTCTATCTCTCAGTTTGCATTATTTTATCTGTACATCAATTAAATAAAACATAATGCCGTTTTTAGTGTCCATTTCGAGAATTCCATCCACAAGGGAAAAGTCCCATACGTTTTATGCGCGCGGCTACGTACCGTCACTTCGTGAAAACAAAATCAAAGCGTTCTATGCAATTTGTGTTTTCACGAAATGACGGTTGTGTTAACAGTTCACACAGAGAAATGAAAAAGCAGCTACAGAAAGAGGAAAATGTACTCTTTCTCACAGTTTGAATTATTTTATCTGTACATCAATTAAACAAAACACAGTTTGAATTATTTTATCTGTACATCAATTAAACAAAACGTTTTGCCGTATTTCGGGAATTCCATCCACGAGAGAAAAATCCCATATGTTTTACGCGCGCGGCTACGTACCGTCACTTCGTGAAAACAAAATCACAGCGCGTCCTTGAATTTCGTGTTTTCACGAAGTGACGGTAATGTTTACAGCTCATTTCCCCCCAAAATATAAGAAATTATGGAAATATTTAAACATAGAACTAAACATTAAGATATTTTCTATCCCAGGATATAAAATTTATTTGCCTTTGATACATTAAAGAGGTTGAGATTATGGTTTGAAACTTTGAAAGCGATTTATTCAAAACTAACTTTCTTTTAGTTGCGCGCTCTACCGTCACTTCGTGAAAACAGGGACGAATTGTTGAAAACCTTCCGTTTGGCAGAAATATAATTGATGTTGATATGGTCTGATGCATTCATTGAATCTCAAGAAGGAGAGAAAGAGAGAGAGAGAGAGAGAGAGAGAGAGACCGATCAAAACAACAACAAATTTTTGTTTAAATCTTCCGTTTGGCAGAAGTATCAAACCAGAGGGAAACAGTACCCATTTCTTTCCTTTTCGCCCACTGGAAGTATATTATAATCGCTCAAGAGACGATGGTTCTACGCCCAGTGAAAGCCTAAATCCAAAAACATGATAAAGACGTAAGCGGGAAGGGTGGTTATTACATAGGGTTGTTTAATGTTACCGATCTGGTTTCGTTGCATTTTAAAAATATCAACGAAATTACAATTAGATGCCATGAATGGATAAACGATGCATCATCAGACATGTCACTTTGTACAAATTTAAATAGATGTACAAAAAAAAAGTCTCTCGCTTCGCTCCCACGCAAACTTTAGAAGAAGAAGAATGACAATTTGTGTTAATAGGGCAAGACACGACCAGCCGCCTAAAGAAAGTGTACTCGCGAGCCTATATCCATGAAAATATTTTGAAGTGACCATGCGGGACGGAGGGGGGGGGGGGGGGGGGTTCTTCTTCGTTACAGTTTAGGTCCGATAATGACTTTCAATACTATGGTATCACCAAGCCACTATAGTCACTGATTGATGTGCGCCGCTCCGAGGCACAACCCCTATTTTCCAAATCCGGATTGTCCTTGCTTTCATGTGGAATAAGGTTTAATTATCAATTTGGACTACATCTTATATTTGGTCCTGGAACGGTCATTATAGTACTCTATCAATTTTACCTTGCTATACGTATTGCATACTCCATGCATGCATGCTTATAGCAACAAACCACACCCCTCCCATGTCCCTTTAACATTCAAGTGAGACTAGCTATATAGCCCCTGAACCGATAGGCCTGCAGAGATACGTGCACTGGAGGACTCGAACAGGACAGATCCGATTTAACATCTGCTCAATATATTTTATTCCGGAGATATCTAAACAAAGAAATATAGCTCAAATATTCAACACATGTTTTTTAAACATCTGTGCCACAGACAAGATGGGTGTCATTTTAGTAACCTACTAGTAAAGTAGGACACTGTTGTGTTTCATACACATTCCCATTAAATTTTGTATACAGGATCAATATCAGTAAAATATTATCAATGTTTTAAAAGGTAAAACCGATTCAGGAATTATTCCTACATAGGTGAAACTTTACTTAATCTTCCATGTTAATCTTCCATGGAGGGGGAGAGTGGAGGAGAGGGGGAGGGGTGGGACCAAGGTCTCGGATAGGACATTAAAGGTGCTATGTCCCATTTGCAGGCCCCAAAAATGAAAAGGTTCAATTCCAATGGCATTTGAAAGATAATACTAATTTAGAACTCCCCTTAAAAAAAATGGGGCTTGAAAATGTTTTTAATTGGGAAAATAACGACTATTAGTTGTCAAATCGACTTAGGAGCTATAGAGCCAATAAGTAATAGTCTCGATGTTCAGACCATTGTACCGCATGGTCATACGTTTTATGCTGCGCAAAGATTCAATCAGTTTAATTGTGGCCACTACAAGAAGTGGGTTATTGATGTAGACAAATCCTTAACAGCTCAATTTATGTATATTATTACCACAGAAGAAGAAAAGGCCAATCAGTCACTCAATACTGACAATAGTGTCTGACAGTGAAGTCTAGCAAGTAAATGGGTTTCCTTGCATAATTTGAATATAAGGACACTGCTAACGTTTAAATTTCACAGATAGGACATACATAACATATTCATAATTCCTGCAAAGTTCTACAGAATTTGAGGTTGGCTGCAAAAGGGACATAGTATCTTTAAGTGAACGTTTTCAATGCTCATGAAAGTCACCCCTATGATCCTATTACAAGTTCCAATAATCAGAATCCATTGATAAAGTCATGCTTCTAAAGTAGCAAGAGTTAAGGAGGAGAAACAGAGAAGGACAGATAGAGAGAAGGGGGTGGGAGGAGAGAGAGAGAGAGAGAGAGAGAGAGAGAGAGAGATAGTGTGTGTGTGTGTGTGTGTGTGTGTGTGTGTGTGTGTGAGGGAGAGAGGGTGGTAAGGAGGGGAGATAGAAGGGGAGAAAGAAAGAGAAGGAGAGAGAGAGAGGGGGAGAGAGAGAGAGAGAGAGATCAAAACAACAACAAAAGTTTTTTTTAAATCTTCCGTTTGGCAGAAGTATAATCGATGTTGATATGGTCTGCCGCATTCAATGTTATCTCAAACATTTCCAAGCGAATGGCATTTTGATAAGGTGTAGTTTGTGTTCGGAGATTCAGGTCTGTTTCCATTCCGTATTCATGGTTTTAGATTTGAACACTTACTTCATAAGCTCTGAAAGAAGATTATTATGGATATTTGCACAACGCTGATAATTTTATTTGGTAAGTGCATAATGGACTATCTTTATCTATTAGATTTGTTATTGCATCTTATTTTGTCAACTTAAGTAGCATGGATATCGTGTATTCGTCTTATTTTACCCACACATTCCTCTCTGCGTGTGGGTGTGTGTATGTGTGCGTGAGGTGTGCGTGAGCGTTTGTGCGTTTTTTTTCTCTCTCTCTTTCTCTTTTAAGTGTATGGAGTCGGGCTAACTCAGACCAGGGGACAACTCGGCCCAGGTACAAAAACGGTCAGTTTTTGCATGCCTTTAGGTTTAGGGTTAGGTTTAGGGTTAGGGTTAGGGTTAGGGTTAGGGTTAGGGTTAGAGTTAGGGTTAGAGTTAGGGTAAAATGACAAAAAATGACCGTTTTTGCAGCTGGGCCGAGTTGTCCCCTGGTCCGAGTTAGCCCGGATCCTATGATATATATTTTCCTTTATTCTGCCCTTTTTTCCCTTCTACTTCCCAACCTTGCCTACGATGTTAAAAATACCTCAGTTACTGCCTTTCCCCACCGGTTAGGATTTCAGTAACCCTCCCGTTATTGCTCTATATCTATGCGTGATTCCTCATTTTGTCCAATATAAAATTGGTACAGGTAAACATGTATCTCTCTTTATCCTAATCTTGCTCCGAGAATTGTTAAAACTTGTATATACGTCTGCAGTATAGCTAGCGCTATTCATAAAAGCCCCGAATACTAATGATGTTTGCCAAAATTCCATACCTTCAAGAACGTTGAATTGGTAATGCATTTATGAATCATCTGTTATGGAGATTTCCCAAGCATTCAATATTATTATTATGACAACGATAATGAAATCTCGCATTAGCGTGGCCATTACCTTGCAGTTTGAATAGAGTTTGGAATTTTCTTTTGCGAGATATCGGCAAATGCAGGTTGAGTCAAGAGCAAAATTGAAATGTCTATTGCGATACAAAAAAAACATTAAGACCCGAATTTACAACAGTGGTACAAAGAGGGATTGTACCATGGGTGTGGTACAAAACCCCCCTCGGAGGTTTAAACCTCTGATTTTCTGATTCACAAAGCAGGTTTAAACCCCCTGGGGGTTTAAACCATGGTTTCAAAAACCTAGGAGGGGGTTTAAACCCCCGGGGGGTTTTGTACCACTGTTGTGAATTCGGGCCTAAATCTTCATGCATTATTGTACCTGAAATTATAAATCTAATTTCATATCGGCCGGGTTCCTGCTATCTGCTCATTAAACACATTACTAAATGCCTTTCAGGGATATAAAACCATTTATCATAATACAATGTCCACTATGGAAAGACTTTACACTTCAATTTGTTAATAGGTTGGATATATTATTCAAACATGTAACTGGATCGGAGGTAACTAACATACAAAACAATCAAAACAAATATAGGTACTTTTTAATCCTCCTTTTTATTTAATACAGAATTGAAGTTTGATTCAACCCTTTTCAATCTCATGAGAGAAGAAAAGAAGCGAGTACCTGTAAATCTATATATGGGGCTTATGTAGTATATAGTATTAAGGGTCCTCCTTAATCATAATTATTTGAGGTTCTATTGATATAAGCAAGCTCCTCCTTACATCATTGATGATAATATAATAATAATAAATTATATTTCTATAGCTCATTATACAAGGTATGTCTCTATGTGCTTTACATTGTATTACAAGCTTAATTAATTACATGCATCTACTATTGAACTATCCTCAAACAAAAATTCTGACAAGATCTTAACTAAAATAGTACAACAGTAACTAGATAGAAAAACATTATAATTCATTCTTAAATAATGATACAATTATGGTTCAAGATTTTATTCATATATTACAAGTTGTAGACATAATATCAATTTCAATTGAAATTATAGAGATTGAGATTATAATGTGGCCCAAAAATGTGGAGCAATGTGAGCAGCGCTTTGTAACTGAAAAGGAAAAAGTGTTATACAGATGGGATAAGGTGTATCTGTAACAAAGAATTTATAACTGGGAAACAATTTTGTTTATATTATATCTTAAAAAGAGCATAATAAAATATAATTCCAGTCAAATTTACTAGTCCATTTTATTCCCGCGTGCCTTATTCAATATATTGGGACCAACCTTTCCATCATAGATCATCATTATGAAATGTAATATCTTTCACCACCTGTCTGGGATGTTTGGTTATGTAAACAAGTCGTGAATACAAGCTCGCGCCACCCCCATTGAATTGTGTGTCTAGTATCGTTAACATGGGTTTCAACGTTTCAATGGGATGTCGGTGACCTTGTACTAACATTGCCCTAGCTACAGATGTTGACCTATTTTTCATCTATAAAAATAATTATTGGACGTCTATCAACACAACTATTGTGTTGATCGACGTCCAGTGTCATGTTCTATACATTGAATTGTGTTTTTATATGAAGAAAAACAAACATTTTACAATGCAGCATTGTTGGGTTATTATTATGGGGGGGGGGGGGGGGGGTTGGATTTTGCATCATGAAGTGGCGTAGCATGAAACAAAGCTGGGGGTGGGGTCTTTAATATGGAATACATGAGAGAAGAAGAGAGTATGAGGGCTACCCCCCCCCCCCCCCCCTACCCCGGTCCGTTCCCCCCCCCCTCTCTCTCTCTCGATCTATCCCTCTCTGTCTTTCTCTCTCTTTCTCTCTCTATATAACTCCCTCTCTCTATCTTTCTCTCTCCTTTCTTCCTAACTTCCTTTCCCCTAATTCCCTTTTCGTCGGGAGAACCATGAATTCTTCCCCTGTGAAATATAATGATCATAGTACTGTTCGATATATTCCGTGGTAGTCTAGGCACTGTGTCGATAATGCCCCATTTCGGGATCCAGAATAGGTCTTGGTGGTAGAATTTGATATCTAAATAACTGCCCAGAAGCTACTGTGATCACGGTGATTGGCTGATTGTAATGTATATAAGAAATGCTGCTTGTAGGTATCGGCATGCATGGTGATGTAGATAACACAAATGTCTTCACAAACTTGTACCCTACATAATATTTTTGGTCCAAAGGATACATCCAAGATTCGCAGTTATATGTTTAACAGGAGAGCATTTCAAGGGCAGTCCTTCTTAATTTTCATTCAAGCTTCTTAAAATTTGTGTTTTCAAACTTAAAGAGGAGGCTTATTTTTATGGTGGACTAGAATACAGCTCAACCATTTCGATTATCCCATTTCATGGACACACGGTTTGAAGAAGAAGTAAATAACAATCTTTTCAGTTCTTTTGATATCTTGCTATCCATGGCTAAATCCATTCAGTAAGTTGCCTCCATATCCAGGATAGGTCATATTCAAGTAGGTATACGTCGGTTGAGTGACATTTGAGAATAGCATTATTTTCTTTACTCGCGTTTTGAAGAGATTAGCATAATTCACTATTATAATATAGGGATGAAAACACCATTGAAATATGGCTCTAATCTGACGGTTTCTGAAAACCAAAACTTTTCAAATATGCGAGGTTGTGTGTTTGTGTTTGTTTTTGTCAAAAAAATACTTTTCACGATCCCTATCTTGCCCTATATAGGTATCGCGTCGTCTGCTACGGGCCTGCGTTGTTATCAATGCACCAGTGATCAGTCGGGCAGTGGACCATGCGTTGATACTCCAAATACCCGCAATATGCAGGTCGTCGAGGATTGTAAGGGTTCATGTTATGTAAGTACTATTGATATAAAGCAATTAATGGAAAGAAAAAAAGCTTATAGTCTTGGAGTGGGAGCTGTCCAGAAATGGTCACCCGCCTTGCCCATAACACTTGACCCCTCAAAGTTACTTAGACCATCTAATAAGTCAGTGATAAAAAGCTTGTCAGCCTGACTTAAGCGATTCCTTGCAGGGCCCCCAAAGTCCCCGAAACACACCCCAAAGTTGGGTTAATTCCACCCAATCTACCTCAGGCACCAATTTCGGTGTTTGGTCAATATGGAATATAATTGTATGCATATACAATTTCTTTGAATTAAATCAAATTGATTAAACTTTATCATTAGTATCTTTTGACTTCTGAATTGATATCTAATTTGCATAGGCACATTATGTAGCCTATCGGGTCCATAGAGATGCAGTTACCAAATATCTCTTCAAGTTAATATTAACAAGAGATAACGGTTAAGATGTTATCAAAACAAAACAAAAGCATGTATAATTTACAAAGTAAAGGTAACAAAACAAAACAAATCAACCAAAATATTTTAAGTACGGAAAAGAAGAAGACTGTAACAGGCCGTGTTTGTTATTTTCTGATATACCTGCTTGTATAAAACATAAAAGTCTTAGTTAAGTCATAAATATGATGACATCTCCGCAACTAAATGCAAGTCCAAATACGTGACTCTGATTAGTTGAAAGTCAGGGATTTCATTCCCCTTCTTTTTAAGTTGCGTAAAATCATTTTTTTTCAATTAAAAAGGTCCCAGATGGAAGAATGGAATTTTGAAGAAAAAAAGGTATACATTTTGATCTTATATTTTCATCTTGTATTGTAACCAGGTTTCATACAGTCAGTCTAGCTCTGGCAGTGGTGTTGTGACGTCACGCGGTTGCTACAGCAGAAAGTGGTTCTGCCTGGAGACTTGCCTCGGTCTCTTTGCAGACATCAACAACTGTCAACATTGCTGCAGCTGCAACAACTGCAACGACATAACGGCATCAACTTTAGGAACGTTTGGCGATGACTTCGACTGTAGTGCGACCACTCCCGAGTCGACAACGACGGTGGCGCTTTTTCAACCAAGTACGACGACGGTGACGACACCCGCCAACGAACAGGGTGAACCCCTACCACGCAGTCAAGCGTGGAGAATGAACATGTCATGGCAAATATTGCTTATATTCGCTCTCACTACGTCTATGGTTATACTTTGACATGGGTAGCGAAATTTATCCTAATTATATGTATTATAATTACTACTGGTCACAGACTTAACTCAATGATCATCACTTGAACTAGCGTGTGACAGATTTCCGACCTATTAACGAGCGAGCAACAAAAAAAAGAGAGCAAAAGACTACATAAGAGCGCTCTTTTCAGGTAACAATTAATGGCGAGGTTTTAGTTTCTAATATTGATTGGCGGTAAAAGGAGTATTAATACTAAAATAATAGAGTGCTCATTATTAAGGTTGATGTGGTTCTATTTTTAAAGGCGTATAAATAAGACAAATGTATTTGGATTGTATATAAACTGTGCATTTATGGTCGGGGCTGGGGAGGGGGGGGGGTAAACAAATTTTTACTTTCAAGGCGCATGCCGATGGAAAGTAACTAGCCATGGACATTTTTTAGTATATTAGGGAATGCATTTCTCTTTCGTTTTTCTATCAAGGCCATGCAAGGAAAATATGAAAGGTGGCCCTCGTAGGCAGGTGGCCTTTATAGAAAGACACTGACACTGAGCCAGGTTAGACTGTATTTTGTACGAGAATTATTATTTTCGTACCTTAATTTTTCATACCTGCCTCCTTCTTGGTCAGTGTGTCGAACTTCGATATATAAAAGATACAGAGTATTAAGAAATATGGTCCAAAGAGAGGTGAAAAAGGCTAAACTCGATTACTTACAAAACAAGATAGAAGAAAATAAACAAGATTCGAAAAGGCTTTGGCAGAATCTAAAAAGCTTAGGATTCAAAAATAAGAAACGAAAAGAACAAGAATCTGTCATTAAAATTGATGGGGAATTATGTCATGATAAGATGGCCAACGCTGATGAATTCAATTCTCATTTCACAAATGTGGCTGCCAAATTAGTAGACAAACGCCCCCCTTCCCAAGACTTTTTCAGCGCAGACAATGATTGTATTCGTGATTTTTACGAAAGAAAAGGTGTACGTGAAAACAGCTTTGAGTTATTACCAATCAGTGACCAATTTGTTTTCAAAGAGTTACGTAAGTTGAATGTATAAAAAAAGTACTGGGTTAGGCATAATTCCAGCTAAATTCCTAAAAGATGGTGCGAAGGTTTTATTTAAGCCTCTAAGTTACTTAATGAACCTATCTATCTTGCCGAGTACTTTTCCAGAGGATATGAAAATAGCAAAAGTGACTCCACTTTATAAAAAGAAAGATAAAACTGATGTTAGCAACTATAGACCTATTAGTGTTTTAAGCGTAGCATCAAAGATTCTAGAAAAATCGGTCTGTGTTCAAATTGAAAGATACTTCAAAGAAAATGATATAATTTATGAATTTCAATCTGGTTTTCGACATGATTATTCGACTGAAACATGTCTAATTCATTTGACTGATTATTTGAGGACAGAAACTTTCCAAGGGCGCTTTGTTGGTATGGTGCTCCTTGATCTGCAAAAATCTTTTGATACAGTTAATCATTGCGTCTTATTGAAGAAGTTACAACTAATGGGTTTTAATAAGGCAAGTTTAGATTGGTTCAGATCCTACTTATCTAATCTACACCAAGTAGTGGCCATTCATGATATTCGTTCTAAACTAATGCCTATAACATGCGGTGTTCCTCAGGGAAGCATTTTAGGCCCAATTCTATTTTCAAGTTATATAAATGATATGTGTATTTGTATAAAAGACTTTAAACTATTATTGTACGCAGATGACAGCGTACTACTCTATTCAAATCCTGATCCTAAATATATTGAGGAAAAGCTCAGTGAAAAGCTGTCTACGTGTGTCGATTGGATGACTGATGATAAGCTTTCTTTACACTTGGGAAAAACAGAAAGCATTTTGTTTTGTTCTAAAAGTAGTTCTAAAAAGTCATTTGAATTCAAAGTGACACTCAATAATCAAGTAATCAAGAGAAAAGATTATGTGAAGTATTTAGGCATTGAGTTGGCTAGCGCAATTTCATTTTCATCTTTAGGTAGAATCAGTTGTAAAAAAAGCAAATTCTCGTCTGAAATTTGTGTACAGGTATCAAAGTTGTATGGATTTAAAAGTAAGACGTACACTCTGTTTTGCTCTTATTCAATGTTTATTTGACTATGCTAACCCTGCATGGTATAGTAACATAAACAAGTCAGATCAAAAGAAGTTGAAAATTATACAGAACAAAATGGTGAGATTTATCAACTGTTCTGGTCCAAGAACTCATGTTGGCTACAGCGAACTTTCTAAAGCTGGTTTTCTTGAAGTCGACCAAAGATCAAAACAACTCGTATTGCATAAAATATATCATACTAGGTCGAATCATATATATTCGATCCAACTTCGATCTTGTTACTGACTTACATGATTATAATACAAGAAATAGCCCATTCAACTATAACTTACCAGAAAGAGTAGGTAGTATTGGAAATTCATTTTATTACAATACCATAAAACATTGGAATTCCCTTCCCAATGGTATAAAGGAAATAGAAAACTATGCTCATTTTAAGAGGAAATTAAAGGAATACCTAATACTTGACAGTCAGATAAGAGAAGTAAATGACATGTTATATGATTGAAATTTGTATTCTTCTGCCGGTTCATACTTTTTCATTTTGTATATACTTATGTTTTCGTACGATATAGAAATTCTACAAATTCATTATTATTTTCCTCTTCTTCCTCCGCCTCTTTTTCTTCTTCTCCTTCTTCCTTTTCTTCTTGTACTTATTATCATTTCTATCCTCAGTTTAATGTTGTTATTATTATTATCTTTAATGAGTAATTCTTTTATTTTTCTTATCTGTCTGTAAATAATTATTACTATTTTAACTTATTAATTTTATATGTGTCTGTAAGGGACCCCAGTGGAAATAAGCTCTCGAGCTTTCGTGGGTTATCCTGTTCAAGCTGACTTATTTCTGATCTGTTATTTTTGTATATTGTTGTATGTTGGAAGCTTGTCGAATAAAAATCAAGCAATCATATATCATCTTGGGTTGCACGGTCCTGTACGTGTAAAACTCTCCTACTTAGTTGTAGTATGTGCTATAATTATTCTTCTTCTCATTCTCTCTCTCTCTCTCTCTCCCTCTCTCTCCCCCTCTCTCTATCTATCTCTTTCTCTTTCTTACTCCGTCCCTCTCTCTTTCTCCCTCTCTCTTTCTCTCTCTCTCTCTCTCTCTCTCTCTCTCTCTCTCTCTCTCTCTCTTACACACACACTCGGAACAATTACGTTTAGTTGAATAGATTATTTATTACACTACACATATTTTTTTATCATTTTTTTATTATTTTTTATTTTTTGATATCTAAACTGTTGTATGTGTTAATAAAAGGGAAAATGTACATAACAAAGACTTAATATTTATAAAAAATTGAAAGTTTACGAGCGCAATTTATATGACATTATAAATTGTTAAATGTTTCTAATATTATCGTGGTATAAATGTCTTTATGATGCCTTCCAGAAAAAAGTGCTTGGTGCTGTCTTCTAAAGTATTCTTAATTGTTGATGAATTAATATCAATTACTAAAGACGAGAGCAAAAGCAGATCTTAAATGTTATCATTGTTAAACAAGATATCTAGAATGACTACATTACATTTAATGCTTGTAGCACTCATCATTGAGATAAAGGAAAAGTTATCATCAATATCAACATCACTGCTTTATTATTTCCTTCTTTATAAATCAATATCATTACCCAACCACCATCATCAAATCACCACCACCACCATGCAGCACCACTATCAAACAACGACCATCACCACCATCACCACCACCACCACCACTACCACCACTAAACAATCACCATCACTACCACCACCACTACCACCAAACAACCACCATCACTACCACCACCATTACCACTACCCCAAACAACCACCATCACCACTACCAATACCACCACCCCAAACAACCACCATCACCACTACCAATACCACCACAACCAAACCTCCACCACCACCAAACCATAAATACCAACACCACCATCACCACTAAACCATCAAACCACCACCACTACCAAACTATCACTACCAAACCACAAATACCACCACAATACCACACCAGGCATACACACCAACACCACCATCACCACTACCACCACTAGACAATCACCATCACTACCACCACCACTACCACCAAACAACCACCATCACTACCACCACCATTACCACCACCCCAAACAACCATCATCACCACTACCAATACCACCACAACCAAACCTCCACCACCACCAAACCATAAATACCAACACCACCATCACCACTAAACCATCAAACCACCACCACCACCACAACCAAACTATCACTACCAAACCACAAATACCACCACAATACCACACCAGGCATACACACCAACACCACTATCACCACTTCACCTCCACCACCAGCAAATCACCACACCCACCAGCACTACCACCACCATGCAGCACCACCACCAAACAACGTCCATCACCACCATCACCACCACTACCGCCATCATCACCATAACTGCCATAACTGATAGAACCATACTCTTCTCCATCCTCATCCTTATTAACATCATCATCATCATCATCATCATCATCCATCATCATCATCATCATCATCATCATCATCATCATCATCTATCATCATCATCATCATCATCATCATCATCACCATCATCATCATCATCATCATCATCATCATCATCATCATCATCCATCATCATCCATCATCATCATCATCATCATCCATCATCATCATCATCATCATCATCACCATCACCATCATCATCATCATCATCATCATCCTCATCAAAATCATCATCATCATCCATCATCATCCATCATCATCATCATCATCATCCATCATCATCATCATCATCATCATCACCATCATCAGCATCATCATCATCATCATCATCATCATCCTCATCAAAATCATCATCATCCACCATCATTCATACTCCCCTCTCTCTCTCTCTCCCTCTCTATTTTGCTGTTGTATATTTAACTCTATCACCATCACACTAATTCATTCATCCCATGATTTATGTGTTAATCTTCATCTTTACCAACACTATAAACAATCTGGAAACAGAAACTGAAATTACAATGCACCCTTTGCTATTGAGCTTGCAATTTTATAGAAAGCTTTATTTATCAAATAAACCAAATTGGATTGACAATGATCAAATTTGGATGGTAATTTTTCTATGACTACCATCCACTACCATCCACTACCATCCACTACCATCCACTACCATCCACTACCATCCGAAACATAGACATTCAACGCTGTACGTAAGCTTTGTAAAAAATCAATCTTAGCAGTTGAAGAAATGGCATTTTGTCATCTCTTAATTTGTTCATAATTGAAACTGCTACCAATTATTTCACTTCTTTAACATGATGTGTACTGTATCACTACTAGCAACAACAAAAAACAGATATGAAATTGTTTTATGTCATTATTACAGATAGCAACACAAATTTGTATACTTTTGACCAGAAGTAATTAACCTTACACATTACACTGGTATGCGAGTTATGCACCATGATGATGATAAAAATCGCATTCATGACTTCTTTCAATTTCTGGGTAGCACAATACATAAATAAAACTCTAAAGGAAGAAAAATGGATTTTAAAAATTGATATTTTTATAACCAATATTATTCTCCTAAAGAGGGTACATTATCTATATACTAGGTACAAATATAATTATCTTGAAGAGTATACTCCATACCTTTATAATGCTAAGTCTGTATACAAATGCACACCTAAATTTCTTTTAGTTGATGAATTTATACATAAGAATATCCTGTGTAAATATTTCAATATAAATATATCTGGACAAGTAAATCTTGTCTATAATGTGTGCTGATTTCTTAATTGAGCTGTCTAATATCATTGAAATGGGTGACTTGTCCGCTAGATAATTATTTCATGTGATTAAATCAAGAATACAAATGTGATACACACTAGAACTTGCCTGTATGGTGCAGTGTCAAAGCTTCAGAAGTTACACATGCATTTTCAGAGCTTGGTATCACACTAATACCCTATATATTTGATGTGGCAGCAACATTCATATGAGGAACAGTAATATGTTTGTAAAGGGTATCTTAATATATGTTTACCTTTGAAAGTTAAAATATCACATTTTAGGTGGGATCATAGAATGTCATTACATAATCTGATTACATTTGAAGTATGATAAAGGGACCATACCACTATAGATATTTGTGGTGGTTTACTTTGGCCTTAGCAACAAAACTCTGAGGCCAAATAACTATGGCACAAACATAAAGTACTTTGTAATATTACTCATTGTTTTTTCATGACCATAAATCTCTTTATTCATGGCAGTAAAAAAAAAAATCTGCAGCACAATTATTTCAAATAATGGACAAATCATTGTGTTAAGATTAATAATCAAATTATGTCACCAAAATTATAAATTAATTGAAAATAATTACGCTTGGTACATGTAGAAGATAAGAAACGAGACATCCACAGCTTTGTGTATTAATCAATTACTTCACAAAAGCTCCATTGGTACAATCAAAACAATTTTCGCTTTAGCATAGAGCAGTGGAAAGTAATGACTAGAAGATATTAATGCCTGTTTAGAACCAGAAGTGAGTTACCTCATATACTTCAACACTCTGAACAGACAGTATTATGTCATGGTGTGTTCGACTGGGAAACAAAAACATATACTGGTATTAAGAAACACAGGAATGCCTTTATCTACCATGGATCATCGTAATCCATGCTGTTGCTATAAAATCATGCTATATCGTACCCATGCTCATACAAAAGCATCTATATTTTCCTCTGTACAATGTGTAATAATCATGATTATGCTCAACGTACATACAAACAACTAGAATATAATAAATATATTTGAAAGCACAAGCATAAAAGAATTGTCACCACTCAATTTTCACTGGCCAACCAAGCCATCTTCATTTACCCATTATAAGTTCAGTCCAAAACAGTTCCCTAAATTTCATTGTACCGGTAAGCAATTTCAATACATTATTGTACTGCATACATAGAATATCAACAATAAATTCAAAGGCTAATGTAAGATTTGCAGATGTTCATACACGAATACTACTTTTTTGGGAAATAATAATTATAGCCATGTACATACTTATATAATGTGGATATAGTGTGATATTTGTGCATCTGAATATGGATATATTTTGACCATTGTGCAATTTTGCATGTACTACTGCCAGCCATACATACCTTACCTAGTGAGACAATTACTTGAATGACTAGCTTTCACTCAACATACTTGTTTTAGAATAATCAGTATTCTTTACAAGCAATTTATTAGAAGTGTAAATAATAGGGTACATCAAGTAAAGAGGGTACATGGTATGAACTTTAATAATAATATTGGATATTTTTTTTGTAGTGCACATATCCACCATGCAAGGTGCTCAAGGTGCTCCAATATTACCCCAGCTCTGCTATGCTATGCTACCGATTCCTTCCTACCGGTACCCATTTAACACCTGGGTGGAGAGTGGCAAATGTAGATTCATATCTTGCCAAAGGACATAAGTGTACCGGTACATGAATGGCTCCGTTTCCGTAATTTCCTGTTATATATCAGAATGCCACTGCTAACTGCAAAACTTACGTACTTCTCTTTTTATGATTAGGTTTATTCACAAGTATATCAATACATCCATTCCCACCAATATTCACCCCAGATAAACACCCAATCATACATACAGAACTCCATGGTCTATCTAAATACATCATCAATGAGACGCTTGAAAAGTGTTTGAATTAAAAATGTAAAGCTTCTCTAACCCTTCATCAGTTACTGATCAAAATTAGGATATAGATGATAGAGATTACAAAATCAGATTAAATATTCACTTACTCTAATCTCAATAGACATGTACAAATTATTCAGATACAATGTATTTACATGTATCTAAGAAAGAAATATGAATAATCATAATGAAATTCTGTAAAAAATGCAGACTACAATGTTGGCCTCTATATACATATAACTACTGACTATCCTTCATATACACACTATAAACATATTTCATTTTGAAAATAAACAATGTCTCTTCAGGGAAACAGGAACTCATAGCTCTTACACAGCTAGCAAAGCTCTACAGCATTTTTGGTTCACCATGCAATAACCAACCCCAATCCCTACATGATGGCTGTAAAATGGAGGACGACTGTAAAATCAAGTCTCTTGTCCTACAAGGGTGTAATTAATACCCATGTTATTTCTTGTAATACAAGACACAACTCAACTTTTTTCCATACAAGTGTGGTAGATCTTCTTCATCAGGGATATAGGATTTTAGATGTTACAAGGTTGTAACTTCATAACATGGTTCCTTCTTGGTCAGAAAGAGGGGCTTCAGGACTTCTTCTTAAGTCAGTACACCAGCCCGGTCCAGAGGAGGACACAGGAACTGGCCTTAGCATTGAAACCCTTTAGGTCTTTGGGGGTACAGAGTTCTGGGAGGAGGGGCAGACTAAATGGTGTGGCTCAAGGAAAACGCTTTATCTCTCTCCAGGACAGTGTGATAGATGTTCTTTAAAAGATATTTTGGGGAAACAGGATTCTAGGTCAGTCTTACAATGTTGAAGCTTCATACCAAGTTCCCTTCTATGTACAGAAATTGGGCCACAGGATACAACTATGGAAGCAAGATTCTTGGAGGTTTTACAAGGGCATACCATTACAACAGAACTCTTCTTGGTATAGAGACAGGGATTTAATTCCTAAAGACCGCATAAAGGGAATTCTGATATGTTTTGAGTCCTGACGGGATGTAACTTCATACCAACTTCCCTTCTGATTAGAGAGATAGGGTTCAAGTGTATACAGGGAAGCAGGGTTCTATTAAGTCTTGAGTCCTAACATGGTGTTATTCCATACCAAGATTTGTTTGGTATTGAAGAGATGGTTTAATCCCTCTTCAGGACAGTGTGGTATGCATTCCTCAAGAGAGCGTATGGGACAGAGATAGGGATTGAAGAGATGGTTTAATCCCTCTTCAGGACAGTGTGGTATGCGTTCCTCAAGAGAGCATATGGGAAGCAAGACTCAAGGAGGTCCTGAGTCAGGAATGGTGATTCTTTCACAATCTAAAGAAAGAGGGAGAAAGAGGACAAATATAATGAACATATATGGGATGCTGTTTGGAGACTACAAAATAATTCAACTAGATAAATATAAAACATCAACATGCAAGCAATTATAAATTGGAACACCAAGAAATATGGAATATTTTATTTCTGGCATTGTAATATCTGACAACAACTACATCAATCTTTTGGTGATGTAATTTCTGACATCTGAAAACAGAGGGACGGCATGAAAGCCAACTAAAATTGCAAAATGATGATCATTCCTTTTGACATACTGTAAAAGTTACAGGAGGCGCGATAGCTCAGTTGGTAGAGCAGTGGTCTCGTAATCGGGTGACCCGGGTTCAAAACCAAGTCAATGCGCTAGTGCCCTTTGGTAAGGCATTAATCCTTATTACCAAGTCCCTCGGAGAGGACCTAAAGCCGTCGGTCCTCTGGTTGCTTACTAACAAGCATTTATGCTTTCTTAGCAGTCAGGTAAAATAACCACCACTACTACTACTACTACTACTACTATAATAAGAAATGTAGAATTTTCAAGCATCAGAAGTGAGAGAGATCAAGACTTGTGTGAAGATGAGCTACAGATAATAACCCATTACTTCATTCTCACAAGCAATTGATTTACAATCTGTTAAAACAGACATCTCTGTGGTTTCCACCCTAACCTGGTTACAACAGAATCTGACTGTTCTGAGGAATCAAGCAAGTTACTTACCTGGTCTAGGAGGAGATGAAGAGACTCGCGACCCTTGACGGTGATGGCCTTGTCAGTCTCTTGGCCAAGATGGAGCATGTTAGATGAGGTCAGCTACAATCACAAACAAGTAAAAACACACACAATTAAAAGAGTATATGTGACATGGGTGACAAGATAAACACTATGGTCTGCATTCTTGTGAGAGGTCTAAATTAAACCTGGGGGGGGGGGGGGGGGGGTTCACAAAGACTAAGATAGACTTTGAATTGGATTTAACTATGGCAGGCCATTCATACCACTGTTTGCTCTCACTTTTACTGGCATTGGTCTCTCAAGGGATGTGCAAATAATGGTCACAAATCTACAGAATTCACATTTGTTTGATAGTTCATTATTGAAGGAAAAATATATACTAAAGATCATAATTGAGAGACCAATAGTGAGAACAACCAGTGGTATGAATGGCCTGACAAAGTTAAATCCTACTTAAAGTCGATCTTAGTCTTTGAGAAACACCCCGCTGGCTTGATTTACTCCACTAATTTATGAAAGGCCTAACCTCAACTTTTCCATTTCCGTACAAATAATGTAATTGACAAGCAAGATTTACTTGGCCAGAAATAAAAGTGAGAAAGTAATTTCATAGTGACAAGTATTAGATTTAGATGGGGTTTCAACCTGGCCTGAAGTTAGGCGGTTAGAATATGTGCCAAAATGCCTGCTTACAGTAAGTTAGAGTCAATAGAGAAAAGACTACTCCAACAATGATTGCTGACATACGTCTTCTTGGACATCTATGTCATTGCACAAATATTCAGACTTGGTCTTACTTAATTTTTGCAAGGAACATGTACTCTTATGTGTATAAATTAAAAATCATTACCATTACATACCTGCCAACCACCCCGATTTAGGCGGAGTTACTCCGCTTTTTTCATACCCACTCCGAATTCCGATTGCATGCCTCAAAACTCCGATTTTTTGTAATTTTAAAATATTTTTAAAACAAACGACTGTTGCATAAGACTAAAGCATAACACAGCACTGATAACCAGATCACGCCTTACGGGGAAACGATAAACATAAGTACTTTATATAGCGAATGCCGCCTTATCACATAGCCTCCGCACACAGCGCTGCATGTCGCACGCATTCACTCATAGGTTCACTGAATTTGACTACACTGGATAGACACTTTCGCGCACATGGTCCGTCCGCCGCCATCTTGTTTAATTCCAAAACAACACGGCCGCTACGTATGCTACGTGCGTTCGTGCCTTTTGAGGGGAGCATGGGGGTAGATGATCGTGCGCATGGCGCCCGCAATATAGTAGCGAAGACTTCGGTGATTCAGCGGGCGCATTGCAAGTGCAGTGCGGTATACGGTGTGTTGTTGTTCATGAACGCCGGGCCTAGCGGCCTAGGCTGTATGGTGTGTCTGTGGTACTGGTGAGTGTACGTGTGCGTGTGTAGAATACGAGCTCTGCCATTTGACTGTGGATTCGAATTTGCGATTCGACGCTTGAACGAGGTGTTTTCTTCCTGAATATTATCATGGATTCACTCAAAAGAGCGAGTACCCGAGAAGGAGATCCTTTGACTGGAAACAGATTTTTTAAAACGTTTTTATGCACATCTTTATTTTGGACTTGAATATGGTAGGTTCGAAATGCAGTAAGAGTGATTGGGTGTTTGTGTACGTTTTGCGCGAAAATTATGCTGCGGTGTCTTGCGTTACGGAAAGACCCCCATTTGTTACGGACAAATATGGTAAATGTTACTGACAGCCATCCTATAGGGTTGGCATCTCTGCCCCCCCCCCCAATCTACGGGCTACTACCCCAATCCTTCGGTGGTTCGCGACCTCGTAGTCCATCCAGAAAAATTTACTCCTAATTTCTCTTGTCTCAGGTTGGCAGGTATGCCATTAGCCATTACAGTTGCCCCTAGGATGTATGAGCGAATAAGTTTTGCAATACCCCTACCTAGTTTCCAATTCAAGAGAAAGGGAGAGAGACAGAGAGACAGAGAGAGAGAAAGAGACAGAGAGAGAGAGACAGAGAGAGAGAGAGACAGAGAGAGACAGACAGAGAGAGACAGACAGAAGAAGAAGAAGAAGGGGAGGAAGAGCAGGACAAAGAAGAAAGAAGTAGAAATAAAAGAAGGAGAAAAAAAAGAAGAAGATAGAAGAAGAAAAGAAAGAAGGACAAGAAGAAGAACAACAACAACAAAGAGCAGATAATGACGATGATAATGATGACAGCAGGGGCACTTACAGCAAGGAATTCTTGAAGTCTCTCCTCCACATCCCCCCTGCCGTGCAGGGAGAAGAGTGCTCCGGCGATGGCATTGATAGCCTTGGCATAGCAGTGACAGTTGTTGGGATGGGCGTCGTACATGGGGTGGTAGATGGTACCCTCCTGGCGGGCTAGGGTCCGGAGGGAGACGGCGACAAACACCATCAGGAGACAGGACTGGATGTAGTCCTGGTCTGGATCAACTGGAGTCAAATCAGAAAGCGGGATTCAAAATCAGGGTAAACGTCATATTTAGTTCTACTGCCATTACCTTACACATTACAGTGTGGGAATGAAAACTAGTAACCAGGATAATGTTTACTCTGCAAAAGGTTAAAAGTATGAACTAAATGCAGCAAATTTTGTTATCATTACTTTAAGAAGGTGTTTCGTACTCCTTAGAATTTTCACAAAATTGAAACAGAACTATTTTACAAGAATATATCATATTTTTCACACAAACATTACAGGAAATTTGTACATTTCATGCATAGCAACAAGCTGCCTAAGAAATTGAACAAATAGAATTGAGATAGATATATTTATCTATCTCTCAGAACTTGACTTTAGTTTTCTCATAAGTTAGTATTTCTTTTCTTTATATCGCAATCATGCATACTGCCAATTATACAAAAATCCATCCTCAAAAAAGTTATACCCGTTCTTCGAAACATTTCCTGCTTCTTTGGCAGGTCTCTTAATATTTCCAACTATGAGCCATATAATCTTAAAATTCAACGGGCAGCAGAACCTTGTGCTGTCCCAACTTACTCTCTTTCTCAGAGCGCAGAGCACTGACCAGGACTGGGTCTACATTGCAGGGGAGACCAACACTGTTAGCTAGAGTGTCCACAACGATAGCGTCCTGTCCCGCTGCTCTCACATGCTCCTTGAAGTCTATGATAGCACTGTACAGGAACGGCACCCTGCGAGCCAGGACCTGCAATCATATCATTAAGCGCACAGGTTCTTTGATTTATATCGTCAAGGTGGGCCAGAAATATTTTGGAAATAACGTTGATGCCCAATGGGTATAAAACATACATGAAGTAGAGTATTTTTCAAAATATCCCTCGCTTCCCATTAAGTACATTGTCAAAAATAATTCAATATCTGCCTCATTTGACATTAATATAAGTATTAATCTGCAAATCATACGTTGTAGTATACGATTACAGATATTATATATTGGAGACTTTCATTCATTTCTATGGTCACTGATGCTGTATTATGTAACCACATATAGCATAACAAGGAACTAAACCACTGTTTTTTTTATTAATGTTTACTCACATCACTGAGAGCCTCTTGTGTGAGAGCCTTGAAGGCAAGGATGATACCGATGATGTTCAGACGCATCAACAAGTTATCTATATCTGTAAAGATGAAAACATATAGTGTGAACACATCAATATCGACTCGTTCATATATATTGGCGGAAACATTTTTCTTCTTAAGTGTAAAAGAATGGCTGATGGGGGGGGGGGGGGGGGGGAATAGCAGATGGTGCAACAAAGGTCTTTCACATACTCACTTTCTGTGTGTTAAAAGGTAATGAAATGTGAAGCCTCTAATGCTTACATCATTCTCTAAAGTAAAAGTTGCTGTTGTTTAACATCATATGTAAATGAGCTCTTAGTCGCAGATGCAATGATAAAATCAATTAGTTGTGATGTCATGATAAAACAATCTACCATGACTTCATTTCAAAGTTGTCAATCATAAAATGATGGCAAATTTATATTTATGAAATAATATAACCAATACTAGACAACATTAACAATCCTTCTATATCTTCAAGGATACGGCAATATATATCTAGATACAAAATAATTTTCTTTTTTGTATAACTGGTCCCCACAACATCTGCATGACAAAACAATTAATTAAAAATGAATTGACTTGACATTATTTTTGCACCAATAGTGTGCTCATTACTTTCCACAGCTACAATTTATGACTATCATACTTTTAAAAGAAAGTTTCTGAATTGCCGAACTACAGCACCTCCACAAGAAACGTTAAGCACATCCATAGAGCACAGAGCCAAGTATCAGATAGAGTTAGTGACTTACGTTTGAGTTGGACTGAGAGTTGGGCCATGACGTCCGGCTTGTCAAAGTTGGTTCTCAGCTGGGTCAATACTTCACGGTTCTCAAGGACCAGTTTCTATTTGACACACAGAGATACAGTACATGGAATCAACAATAAAAGTGCTGTTCATTCATTACACCTTTCCAATTTTTTCCTCATTATGCCCACTTCTAGTTTCCAAATTGTTCTCATCGTTTTATCTGTTCCATATGAATGTTGGATAGAATTAGAATCAAAAGACATTAACCTAATGCGTACAATGAGACTATTATATCTTTCGCCTGCCTCCCCCTGTAACATAATATAGTTACTATATCTGATGAAAATCGAGGATGGCAAACCTTATAGAGATCATGGAAGAAAAGAATGCTGCCAACATCAATTCCAATTAGAATCTGTTTTGAGAACGGTTGTTTTTACTTCCTTTAGATTATATTCGCATAATTAACATGTTGTCTTTCCACCCTTTTGAAGCAGCGTCTACGATAACCTAGTTGTCTCTATTTGAACCTCTTTCACATCCATCTTGTCCTCTTTAAACTCCTTCATACCTTGAGTTCTCCCATCTGACTAGCAATGTGCCACATGAGACTCTCATGAAGGAACTTCATTCCATAGGCTCCGATCAGCTCTGCTAGAGATCTCAGCTCTGGAGAAGAAAGAAAAGACCAACGCTTTGGTGACTGGTAAATCAAATAATCTTCATTATTGACATCACAACATCATCATCATCATAATCAAAACAATAATCCTCCTCCTTCTCCTTCATCATTGTTATCACTACCATCCTCCTCCTCATCCTCTTCTTAAACATCATCATCCTCAACACCATCCATCATCATTAACACCATTATCATCATCATCATCATTGTCATGATAACTTCATTATTATCATCATCATCATCATCATCATCATCATCATCATCATCATCATCATCATCATCATCATCATCATCATCATCATCATCATCATCATCATCATCATTATCACCACCACCAACCATCACCACCACCACCACCGCCACCACCATCCTCCTCCTCCTCCTCCTCCTCATCATCATTACTAACATTCTCATCTTCATCCTCTTAATTATCACCAACCATCATCAAATATCACTCGTTTTTTATAACTAGAATGATCAGCAGACTTTTGATAACAACACTAACAACTTTGCAGTATGCACAGATTGTATCTTGAACATCATCACCAAAATCACCATGACTACCACCACCACCACTCCCATCACCTAGACCCTCAAACTAACCTGTGACATCGGTGTATTCCTCAGCATTGAATGGTAGATGTTTGTCTGGAGCCAGACTGATAAATGCCTTCTGATGCGGAGAGTAGATGATGTGACAGGTGGTTACCTTGCGTAGGAACACCTCTAGATACCTGAGCATGAGAAAACACAAAATTGTTATGTTTGTATGGTACACGACAAAATGGTAATAATAGGTCAATTTATATAGCAAAGTAACTACATGAATATACTATACTGCACTTAACACAAAGAATCACATTATTACCCCAGCTGTAGCTGAGCCACTATAATAAAGCGCTAGAGCATTCAACAAATTTGTTCCTACTTGTTTACTTCACTTGGGTGGACAATGGCAAATGTAGATTAATGTCCTGCCAAAGGATATTAGTGTTTTTAAGTGCCATATACTGTAACATGAAATACTGGCATTATCACAATATTGTTGTATACTATGTTCTTTCGAAATTTCATATGTCGAATGTAACAAAGGGAATTTTGTTACCACATTCAAAACATTTAGAGCCTGCATACAATGTGTGCACCATCTTCACTCTCTGTCAAATATTCCTACTTTTACATGTTTTTCTGCAGGTTCTGCAGTCCTCACATATCCCCCTTTTTCCATTCTTGGTACAGAGTAAAAGTGTTGACTTTAAATGAATGCGTCTGAAAAGGACAGTGCCATGGCTGGAATTTTAATGTAACCCAGACAATGCACAGTCCAATCCTTATCTAATAACAACAACCCTTCTCTCAATCGGTGATCATCAAGCACTTATAAAAATAAATCATAATTACAATGTAAATAATGATTTGTGAGATTACATACCAGTTTGTGTAGAGCATGGTGATAGTCTTCTCTCCATGACTGTCTTGTTGTTGAGTTTGTTGAAGCATCACGTTGTTGAACACTCGCGTGATGTCAACTTGGACTAATGGGACAAAAAGAGAAGAAAAGGAAAGGATGGATTGATGAATATGGCAACTTGCACATCATAACATATGCATTGATTTTAATCAATGGCAACTGTTTATAAGACAGGGTTCTGGGGGTGTTTCACAAAGATCCTAAGTCAAATTTAACTCTAAGTTTGACTTAACAATTATGGAAAGACGTTAGCATCTTTGAAAGTATTTTGTAAAAGTTATTTTAAAAGACAACAGGTTGATTCAAATCATTCACATTTTCTATTTTCAAGGAGATTTCATGTTCTTGATGTGAAATTTATGAAAAGTCTAAAATACTTGAATTTTTGCTTTGAATATATTTTATTTTAAGGCTACAAATGGCTTTCCATAATGTTTAAGTCCAACTTAGAGTTAAGTTCGACTTAGGATCTTTGTGAAACATCCCCCTGGTCTAGTATTGGGTCCACTGCTTTACTGCTGGATCTCATCGATCACGAAAAAGGATACTTACCATAGCTCTCGATGCTCTGCAGGACATTCATGTAGGTCCTAACACTGGTGAGAAGCTCCGAAGGTTTAGCTATCTCATTAGTCTCAGGGCTATACATCATCATCCCTACAAGGGCTCTGTAAACAAACAAACAAACAAACAAACATATAAATAAACATATAAATAGACAAACAAACAAACATTAGATATCCATGTAGGTCCTGACACTGTAAACAAACAATCAGAAGCCATTCATTCACACTTACATAATGATGAATACATGTGACAGTTTGCTTAGTCTACCAAATCGAAACAAGTTTAAATATCTTTAGTAAGATGAGAAAGGGACAATAGAAAATACATGCACAGCGATGAGCATATTGTCTATACAAATAAATTTCTTGTGAAGTAGCATAAGTTATACATTGCACACTAACATGTTCTGATAGAATGATTGTGGTGGATCCAGACTAATCTGCTACCTTTTCAAATTCGTTAATTTTTCTTTTGCTTGTCCACTATTCAGTGTTTTGGGGTTTGTTGTTACTGCATACACAATGTCATTAGAAAATGCATTGCCATTTCCTCTCCCCTTTTTTTTGGAATAGCTTAGACACACAATAGTGTCCCTGCCCCCCCCCCCCCCCCAATATGGAAATATTAAGTCAAGTGGGAAGGATGGAGAAGAAAACTTACTTGGCAAACCTGGCCTCCAGATGCTGGATGAGGTACTCTCTTGGGGCAAACGTGTGTTCCCAAACCATGATCTTAGCAGAGTAGTTGATGGCTGTACACAGCTCAGACAGTGAGATGTGAAGACGATCAAACCTACAAACACAAAATTAAACAATGACTTCATGTTCATACAGTACAGGAATGATAAAAATATATTACACCTTAAAAATTAGAACAGAAAAGTGGTAACGACCCTAACCCAAAATGACTCAATAAAGACCCTAATGTTGCCATTATGGTGAAGAAGAAAATAAAGAACGCATTAATGAGCATTTAACACAAGTTTCAAAATGTTTCAAACAATAAAGATACACATGTAAGTTTGCAAATACCAATGCAAAGATTATTTTGAGAAATATAAAGTATAATGATAAGGCATTTTGAGGAATATATCATAATATGCTAAGACTCAGAAGAGCCTAACTCACCGTAAAATCACAAGTAATCGCCTTTCTGGCTCTCAACAAACGAAAAATACCCCTTTATGCCACGAGATTTGACATTGTTTGGAACTGATCTAAGATGAAACTTACTCTGTCAAGTTTTCTCTGGTTTTCCTGAAGCTCTCAGTCCCAGGCATAGGATTCTCTTGGAGTGTCTTCAAGCGATTCTTATCCACGTTCTGTTTGGTCTTACGCTGCAGTTCATGCTTGATGTGCAGGGGGGCAGCATTCTTCGGCAGAAGCTGTGAAACAATTAATCATTTTGGATTGAAGTCTTAAATTACTTACTTCTCTACCTCTCTTGATCGGACCATTATTACATGTAAACTTACGATGTGAATAGTATACTAGGCTTTGCATAACCAGATCTGACAAACATAAGCTTTCGTAGAAAACCAGCAAAGGTTGAAAATTGATTAAAGTTAAGTGTATATTGTACAAGTTCTAATAACAAGTACTGTAATGCCCCCTGATCAAGATTTTATGATAAACATGACTGGTCACTTTTGTGGTCAGTTTATTATGATCATGTAGGATGTGCAGTTATGGTATACAAGTTTCTCCTTAACAAATTTCTGATTATTAGATGGTAGATTGTCAGATAGCTTTATTTTTGTTTCATTGTGTCTTTCAAATATGTTTATGTATGAGTATTTGCTGAAAATATGAATCAAGATGTGTTGAAACTGCAATATAATAATACATGTGTAAATGAATATGGGTATGCAATCCACGATTCTTTCAACATTTACCCTGAAGCCATCTTTGCAAACCTAACTGAAGTATAATCCAACAAATTGAATGTTGATGTACTGACCTGGTCACTTAGGTTACACTGCTCAGAGCAGATTCTGGTCACTACATCCTTGACCTCCTTAGCTAGACGGTCAAGGAAAGCATTGGTCACTGATAGACTTCGCTCTCCAACATGGAATCTCTGTAATGTCAGGATAAAATAGTTTGGAAGGAATGGAAAATAGGTAGATAGAATGGTCAGTCAAAGGCAATATAGAAGAACTTTACAAATGGAATATAAATCTGTGATACAGCACAAAGATTAGATAGATAATACAAAACATGAATTCTTAAGATGCTGCTTATAAGTATCGGCTTGCATTGTGATGTAGATAAACAGTAGGCTTGCGGGTGCACCATGTGAGAGAGGGGGAGGATTGGGGAGTCCTGAAAAGGACTCTCGTAGATAAATCTTGAATGTGTGTAGTCTTGAAAAGGACTGTTGGTGTAGTCTTGAAAAAGACTGTTGGTTATCACTCCTGACGACGGATAGTCAGCCTGTTTGAAACTTCGAGCCACTCCTACCACCCATCCTCTCCAACCGGCGCTATAGTTCTCCTTAGAACTATAAGCTAAGAAAGATAACCAACAGTCTTTTACATGACTACACCAACAGCCCTTTTTAGGACTACACACACTCAAGATTTATTTACAAGAGTCCTTTTCAGGACTCCCCAATCCTCCCCCTCTCTCACATGGTGCAACCGCAAGCCTACTGTTTATGAATTCTTTAACAGTAACATAAAGTTTGTTAAAGGGGGATTCACATCTTTTTCAAAAATTATGGTATCCATCTGAAATCTTGCTCTGAGTCTTTGTCATAATAAAGACAAATTATAAATGTAGTTAGGAAGAAAATAAAAACAGTATTTAAATATTCAAGAAATAATTCATCATACAATATCTAGCTACCACTTTCGATGAATGTATCACTACTATCATGACAACAGGATTCCAACTGGATAAGTGAAAAGCTTCACCCCAGCAATAATTACCACAGCTTTAAGATTGACAAAATTTGAATATATCGCTAATGTGCATAAATTTGTTTTATTAATAACAATAATGCGTATCTACTGATTATAAAGTTTGACAACTTCTACATAGAGCGAGAGGAAAATAATAATAATACAACGATTGCCATGAGACCCATTTACAGCCTCAAGTTTACTTTACAAAATGATGATACAGAAGACTAGTCTAAACTTATGCAAACCAAGCTTAGACAAACTAAAATGATCCAATACACTGCAGTATATATGTATACATATTGAAATTAAAAAATGCATATATGAGGCTGAACATATTAGTCTGAAGCAATATTTGGACAAAATGTGGTAATTGGTGGAAGAAAAAAAGAATTAATAGTGATGTTCGTATTAATCTTTAAGAGTTATTAATGGAGAAAAGAAAATCAGCCTATTTGTTTGTTGTCTTTTGTTATTGTATCATGGAAAGAAGAGAGAGTTTGATAAGGTATTTGAAATGAAATCAAGCAGTCAGGAATATTGGAGGTACATCAGAGGTACATAACATGGAAATGGGTGGAAAAGAATTTCATACCATTCACAAGTATTTAAATAGATGTAACACCCCACTGCGACAATAAATGCAAATGTTTCTACATATGAGAACTCAATGAAAGATATAACAACAATTGGGGGAAATGAATGAGCGAAAAGGTGTAGAATAAAAGAGAATCCTGTATCATACGAAAGCATGCAGAGTGTGATAGAAATATACAAAAAATAATACCAAATAATATATTTTTTTTAAATGGCGTTACATCCTACAATAATAATAATAATCTTTTAACGTCCACTCCAAATTTTATTAAGTTAAACCGAAAATGGAAATTCTTTTTGCCCAATTGATCAAGAGCCCGGCAGCCACTGAGCAGCGCCAGATCGACGTTGCTCTATCCCTTATTGTTGAACGCCAAACAAAGTAGCAGCAACTCCCGTCTTTTAACTTCTTTTGGTACGACACGGCCGGGGTTCGAACCCACGACCTCCTAGTTGTTAGGCGGACGCTCTACTGATTGAGCACTAAAAATCCCACTTGTTCAGTAAACAAAATTTGCCATTTAATGCTGATGCCAATAAAAATGAAATGTTTTTTTAATAGTAAATATTCTAAAGCTAAATCTTTAAATAAAATGATTGGGCAAGTCCTACATTTTTCCACTAAAAATCAGCTATTTTACAGTCCAAATACAGTTAAAGAGGAAAAGGAAATATTCTGAAACTTATTGAATAATTCACTGATTTCTCAAATTCTGTCTGAAGCTTTACTATGACAAATTAGTCATAACTACCAAAACAGAAACCTTTTCCAGTCATATCTGAAGCAGGACAATTTTTGATAGTCAAGGCCAAAGTAGAAGAAGTAGTGGTAGACGTTACTGGATAACTTGTTTAGCACAAAGCTAATCTGCCAAAAGGTCTTTCTAGAAGCAATAGTCCAATAGTTGATAATCACAGATACACAGGATATACAGGCACATGTAGCACAAGGACTTCGAATGAGAGACACAAAGAAACAAGGTCACCATGACGACGACAGACACAGGACATGCCACTCAACAATGCCCTACATACCCTGTCCGTGAAATAAAAGACGGTATCGCGATGGTTGCGTGGGCTTATCTGAAGGAAGGGATTAGTAGTGGAGTTGGGTTAGTAGTTTTAAATAATCAAAAGAAATCAGAAATGGTCAAGATATCTCAACAAACAAAAATAATAATGATAATAAGAAGATTATGAATAGGATGGCTATGATGATTGAAAAGATATGCAGGTGATTTGAGACTTAATATCATTCAGAAGATAATAAGTTAGAAGATAATGTGTTAGAAAATGTTATAAAAGTCAGATTTCTTACAAGAAAATACTTTTAGTAGTAAGATATACCTGGCATCATATGCATGTGCCATTACATGTGTAACTTATTTTTGTATGCAACTTCATATATATTCATATTTTACTACTTGTATATATTATGTCTTTATCATTGTGTGAGTATACTGTATACTTGGCTAAAGCTGGGTGTAGACATAAACAATGGGTATGTAATAAAACATATATAACATATATAAACACAATAAACAACAACAACAACAAAACAACAATCAAATAATAATCTTGCAAAATAGGCGATATCTAGTTATTAGTAGTTCCAGACATTTCTCAATTAAATCCTTCCAACTTAACAGTACTTGATTGGTATTGCAGAATGATCAAGTCAGTAGAATTTCGATTATGAATTCCTTTTTGTACTTTATCAATGGGTCATCTCTTTTTACTGTACATGTTCACTTTCAAAATGTTCTGACAACAGTTCCAAATTGTGTGAAAAACTGTTGCATATTTTTTAATATTACTAATTGTGATTTTCTTCAAATACAGGCACTGTAGTATACAAAGATGTTAAATACATAATTAATATACAATACAATTTTTTTTTTAAAGAAAAAAGGGTGTATTTTAACACATGTATAAACAACCCTCAAAATGAATTTGTCATCATTTACTGAGTGGTATAGCAAAGACAGAGAGGGGAATAGTTTAAAACAGAAGGTTGGATACAAAATATACAAACAGTTGGTTCTGGGAGTGATAGCAACAGATTGGATGGAAGGAAAACGACATCAATGACTTCCAAAACCATATTTTGGGATAAAATCACAACATTTCACCAAAAAGACCAGCATAAATGACAAGAAATACTTTGAAGAGGTTGGGAGATGCTGAATGAAGTACGTTCAAGCATGCCATTGAGGCAATTTGCCAACACACAAACAAAACTTCAATACAGAAGAATCCGAGATCAAAATGAGTAAATGACTCAATTAGCCCACAAGTTTGATCAAACCAAGCAAGCTACATGAATAAAAATGTTGTAACATTTTCAGAATTTTATATGAGATACCATTCTATCAAACAATTTTCGAGTGACTATCAAAGCCTTTAATATCACCAGTATTATAACCATAGTTAATGTAGTTTGCTCAGTATTGTGAGCGTCTGTAAATTGACGCCTGGCTGGAATGCTCCCCAGGGAGTGTAGAATGTGCATACATTGCGTATGGGCAAGCCTGAATCGGATGCACAGGGCAATAATATATCTGTAAAAGCGCTTCGAGACATCATTGATGTTAAGCGCTATATTAAGCGCCATATGAAAGCGGAATTGTATTAATATAATTATTATACAAACAGAGCTTTCATTGACAGCTTCATCGGTCTCAGTTGTAACAAGATATTTCCCCATCTATTGACTGTTCTTATCTGAAACCAGATTGAAAGATCTACACTCCCAGTTATACGGAGAAGAATATTTTGGCAATGATACCCTATGCAACGTTGTGTTGGGCGTTAGTAATGTAGGTATTAATTTATTTTTTTTTCATATCGGATTCCATACTCATTTCAGAATAATAATAATATAACATATTTTCAGCTTTCAGTATGCAGTGCAAACAACACACAAGATTAGTTGAATTAATAAAAGCTTTGAGCTGCCAATTCCACATAAAGCCATCACCTGAAGACCTGTGGTCTGTCGCTACAACTTTAAGCGGGACTTAAGCAGAGTGCCAATCTTGAATGTTACATGAACATCTGTGCCAGAAAGCTTGGGTGCTCATGCCCCCTGTCATTTCAAAGACAGACTGCACTTCAGCAATCAAGTCAAGCAGCAGTGAAAAGGTTAAAAAAAAGGTTTTGAAGCTAATTAAAGGCAGGCTTTACTAATTCAGCTAGAATTCAATTAGACCACTCAGCGAGACAGCGAGGTCACTGTGACAGGTGGCTATCTCATTAACTCAGCTCTCATTTAACATAAGAATAAGAAGATCATGGGGGACCAACAGGCACCGATTGGGGAAGTTTTCTATATAGAGGGAGCAAGAAGCTACAAGTAGGACAGTGTGCCTTTAAAGGTGATATAATTTCAATTATATTGGTGTCCAAGAGCTAATTTTGGTGCATGACATGTACATACCAAGCCTCATTATGTACTATTAATGAACAGATAAATAATACCATGAATATGAAGAGAAGAGAAATGTGTATGTTAATTATATAATGGCTATATGAACAGACCCCATGGCTATATGAACAGACCCATGGCTATATGAACAGACCCCATGGCTATATGAACAGACCCATGGCTATATGAACAGACCCCATGGCTATATGAACAGACCCATGGCTATATGAACAGACCCCATGGCTATATGAACAGACCCATGGCTATATGAACAGACCCCATGGCTATATGAACAGACCCCATGGCTATATGAACAGACCCCATGGCTATATGAACAGACCCATGGCTATATGAACAGACCCCATGGCTATATGAACAGACCCCATGGCTATATGAACAGACCCATGGCTATATGAACAGACCCCATGGCTACATAAACAGACCCCATGGCTATGTGAACAGTGTCTTACCTCCTCAGGACACAGCTCATGCGTGCAGTTAATGAAGTGAGCGCAGATGAGGGGGAAAGCAACCGCAAAGCGAGACTGGGTGGGGTAGCCCAAGGACATCTCAAAGTTCTTCTCAAAGATACGGCTGTGATGACTGTTGATGAGGCAAAAATATAAAAAGGAATTCAGCTATCGATCATTTGCACCAATCAAATATATCTAAAGAGGCAAATTCTTCATAGTACCACTTAACCTCAGTAAGTTAACAAACATCCTTTAAACAACAAAATTTTCACGAGAAAATAATCTGATTTTCACATTTTGTTTAAATAGGTCAATTCAAAACATAAAAGAAACTCACAGTAATTGAAAAAAACAGTATAATGTACTTGTTATTGTTTTGTTTTAAGCACAAAATATATAGTAAGATGATATAAACTATAAACAACCTAAACAAAGCCAGGTTTGGGATACTAACCCGACACTGTTGACCCTATCAGTATGTTTCTCTATAGATGTGTACCTAGTATTGAGATAATCTTTTATTTGATAGATAACAAACTGGCATGATAAATAAGAAAGCCTAAGATGAATATTTGAATAGCTCTGGTGCAAGGACTTCCCTGTCTGGCAGAACTTCTCTACAGCCCCATTCATACAGGGCACAATTTCACAAAACAATCAGGACAAAAATTTGCATTGAAATAAATGGAAATAGGTAACATTTCTCGAGTAAAAACCATAGCTTCATGTGCTTATATGTGTACTCCATAGGTTGTGGGCAGCATACAACCTGTATCTCATTTAATTTAATTTATAAATGACGACATAAAGAATAAAAAATACAACAAACAATAACAAAGAAAAAAGATTAAGTTAATTGCGGTATACTGCGTCATGTCTGAATAGAGCTGTAGAAGAAGAGCCATGACTTACCAGAAGATGCTAAGATCCGATGTCTCCTGAAGAACCTCATCCGCTGCATCCACCATCAGTGTGTGGAAGATGATGGTGTTCATGGTCCTGGCTAGCTCGGTGTTATCCCCTAGGACCAGGGTAGCACGGCTGATGCTGGTGTAGGCTTGGAGGCGGAACCAGTCCAGACGGAACCCAGTGAAGTCTGGCTGAGGACCTTCTTTCACTGTGGGTGTGGCATTAGAAAGAAGAGGCAGTATATTTAAACTCTTTCCAGATCTGAATCATCAAATCCATTGAATACATTTCATATTGCTACATTATTAATTATAGAGAAAAAATGACAAAATCTTTGGTTTAAAGCGGTACCCGTTGGTTCCCCATGGTCCACTTCTTCTTATGTTAAGTGAGAGCTGATTTGATAAGATAACCACCTGCCAGTGGCCACGTGGGGAGGTCTAATCCATCCTGGCCAAACTAGTGCAGATAGGCTTTCAAAAAATCTCACCAAGATGTACCTATGAGTATAATGCATTATTTCAATTTTCAGTTTACACTACTAAAAATGATATTGCTTGAATTATATGACATGAAACTATATAGAGCTTCTTTAAGCACAGTCCTAATGTATGATGACAATGGAAGATCTTGTGTACAGAAAAAAGAAAAGACAGCAAAAATTCAATGAGCAGTCAAGTGAATCTAGAAAAGAATACACATAGGCTTTGCAGATGTGATCCAGGCAGTTCTAATAAAAGACCTGGGGCCCGTTACTACCATGGAAAACTTGAATTTGATTGGCTGTTGAGCCCTGTTACAATGGTAGTTGCCATTGATGGCAAAGTTACCATCAATGGCAAGTTTGGTGCAATGGGGCCCTGGCATATAGAATCCACTGGCATCCATATGGCAATGAAAATACGAACTTACCATTTTTGATGCTGAGTGATTCAAGGGTCTGTACAAACGATGATAGGATGATGGATTCATCTTCCGGACACATGGTTAAACTCTGTAATGAGAGAGGGAGGGGTTCATTAATTTTACGTGCCAGAATTTATAGTTGACATGTATCATCATTGTGTTAGTGTGGTTTAGTTATGTGTCATACTTGTTGTATACCACAAATTATTAGCCTCTGACATTTGATAGTCTTAAGATAACCTAGATATTTTAATTCTAATATAAAATCTTAAGTTTTGAAACTAAAAAACTACTTCGCGAGGAAATTTAGTCATTATGTGTCTAGACAATGTTCAAACTGATTTAGCTATTTGAAATGATTGCTGTAGACCAGAAACCATTAGCCTCTAACATTTCAGAGAGGTTCTGATATCTTTTTGATAGCCTTAATATATTAAGATATTTTAATTCTAATATTAAATCTTAAGTTTTGAAACTAAAAAACTATTTAGCAAGGAAATGTAGACATTACTTTAATATATTCTACCTCGGTAAACACATTACCGGTACTTTGTTTCTCTTCATCACAGCAACATCAAACTGGTTTCAAGATAAAATACCTGAAATATCTGACTCACCTTGACAATGTTGTTGAGCACAATAGCATCATATCCATTCAGATACTGGATGTAGTAGTCTTGGAGCACATAGAAGTATTTCCTCACAATGGCTAGGATGGAAGAAATATATATCTTTAATTAGAATAAATGGGATATACAACCTACAACATCACAACTTCAATCCCAAAATAAGCATTTTGTAAGGAATTCTCATGAATGGGCTTCAAATAGTCTCTGTACATTACAACCGCAGGAACATAATGCAATGAATTTCATAAAATACTTATCCCTATCTTATCATTTCCTGACTCAGAGTAGGGTAGTGGACTTTTCAAATAGCTTCCATCTTATCCCAGGTCATTCCTGAATCAAAACATGCTTGAAGATATACTACAAGGGTTCTATCCTTACTCATCAGTTTGGGATCAGAGTCTAGTCACAATCACATGTCCTTCACCTCTTTAAAGCCCCACTGCACTACTTATAGCTACTTGCACCCTCTATATAGCAAACAATGCCTAATCAGTGACCATTGGTCCCTAATGATCCCTTTTTTTTAATGTTAATTGAGAGCTGATTTGATGAGATAACCAACTGTCAGTGACCATGCAGGGAGGTCTAATCCCTTCTGGGCAAACTAGTGCAGAGGGGCTGTAAATATTTTTCCCTTATCAGTTCTTGGTTCTAATCTCAGCATTATCGAGCACTCCTGTCCTTATTTTTACTAGTTCTTTAACATAGACTTGGTTCTTCAAGAATAACTCCTATCCCTTTTAGGATCTGGTCTAAGACTTACCACAGTCAGGTCTAAGACTTACCACGTAGCTCTTCGATGTAGAAGAGCAGTTCCGGCAGATGATGATCCACCAGGTCCTCCATGACAGGTTTGTTCTTAAGCTTAGGGTGAGGGTGCTCAGTGTGTCTTACAAGCCAAAGGATCTCATCGCGAGCAAACGCAAGACCCATGAAGACATACAAAGCCTGGAGAAACAAGAAAATATAACCATGAGGGTGGTGTTAATAATATGAATTTTGTCTTTCTTATAATTCAGAGGTAATGTTATAGCATAATTTTATAGTTCAAGAAACACTCATATCATGATAAAATTCTAAATACCAAGTTCAACAAAAATCTTTAAACTTAATGGCGTTCTAAATGAACATATGTCACTGGAAATATCTACAGATTCTACTTGATATCAGGAAGGTGATTCAGAACAAGACTCTTGCTATGTGTACAAAATATAATGCACTTTCAAAATCTGTGCAATGAGTTATATGTTTACGGATAGAACTCTACAAAAGCAAATGGAAAAAAGAAAAGAAATTACCACATCAAATTGTCAAAACTTTATCTTATCCTTGCTTTAAAGCCTGTCTGCACTCGTTTGGCCAGGAGGGATTAGACCTCCCTGCATGGTCACTGACAGGTGGTTATCTCATCAAATCAGCTCTCAAATAACATAAGAAAAAGGGGATCATGGGAGAGCAACAGTTACCGCTAAGGCATTGTTTGCTATATAGAGGGCGCAAGTAGCCATGAGTAGTGCAGTCTCGCTTTAAGCAACAACAAAAGGTTGAGATAATTAAAGGAACTGACCTTTGGCCCCAGTAGCCCTGGCTGATCTGTTATGATGGTGATGAGTTCTTTGAGAGCTGTTCTCAGGAACTTTCTTCGTTCTTTGTGAAGGCCCGGACTGGAGAAGAAAGATACTAACCACATCAGGATAATATTTAATATATTTTGAAAATAACATGAACATTCAGTAAGAGAGAGAAGGGCCAGAACCCATCAAAACAGTTGTTGGAGTTGTGAAAAAAAAATTAAAATGTTGAGATAAGGGACTGAATGTTCTGTACTTTAGGGACCATTAATAAGTAAGCATTTACAATATATCAAGATGCCAACATTATAAATTTGTCAATAACTAAAAGTTGTCTTGATGGAGTTGAGCCTTCTTTGTACTCTATTATTACATAGCTTTGATGTATTGACAGACTATATAAGAATATTAAATGAACATGCTTATGTCATGTGAATTTCAGATAGCTACAGGCAGTGAGAAGATGATATGGATAGAAATAAAGTACTTACGCATAACTCAGTGCATGGGTAGCAGCATCCTTCACTTCTTGAGCTTTCTTGCTAAATCTGAGCAGAAAAAACAAAGTATGAATAAAAGCAGAAGGTCAGATAAAATCGACTCCTTCCAAATTAAAAAAAAATGGAAACAATTGGCAACTACTCAGAGAGTAAAAGTTATCAAACTCTATTTCATGTGGAATTTCTTTAAAGGAGACTGCAAACTTGCTATTGATTGGAGGACTTACGATTGATTTGGATCGATTGTAACTCTTTATAAGATGGGGCCCAGGGCAGGATAAAATACAGATTCTCTTTTAAATACAACATCCTTCCTATCAAGCTACATTACCGTCAGGTATATGGATCAATCAACAAATCCCTTGTAAGGCTCATTATGATTTGATGCGATAAACCGCCTGCAAAAATGCCACCATGTTTATTTTTACTTAAATGAATGAAAACTGTGTGCAATAAAGATCCTGGGCATATTCAGTGAGCTCTGTGTTATAACATAGAGAAATGTGAAGCGTGCTTTACTTTACGTCATCATAAAACAAAATTTTAAAAATTTTGCCAAGTCATATCTGAACAAGGATTTATTCCCACAATAAACTAGATCAAACTCAATTTCTCTTACCCTTTGATGGAAGTGAAGAAGACCTCAATGTATTTGTGGAAGACCAAGACCTCATCTCGACACAATGTGATACAGTAAGAGCTCTGGAGGGCGGGGCGCCACAAGGCTAGGGCTCGCTCATTGGTAGTCAGGAGGGTGGGGCATACCATGAATCCAACTGTCAGAGAAAGTCATGAATGGAATTCAGAGTTCTACAATTTTTAAACTATAGGTAATTTTGAAATTTGAATAGAAACGATTGAAAGAAATGCATCTCCAATCTTGAAAAGGTGTTTTGAAGCTGTTGACTAGGTGTAATTAATGCTGCATTTTCAAACTTTGAATTTAATTCAATTAAAATGAAACCCTATATTTTGTTTTATTTTTGTCAAAATTCTGATGACATCTTTTCATTTCATAGCATAGTCATATTCAAATCATTTAGAAAACACATACAAAATGAAAGCTAACTGAATTCTAAAACCTTCAGCTGTGCTTTGCCTAGAGTGAGAGATAGGAAGAACACAATGAAGAAGTTAAGTAAAGCTACATCAGCTGATGGCATTTCTCAAAGAATAAACTCTTATCTGATAAGAATAAACAAATATACACTGCAAATCTAATTGAAATCCAAAATTCTATAAAGTAATAGATATTCTGTTAGGAGTTATAAGTTTTAAATAGAACCTGCAAAGGTATGTTTTAGATTTCAGGTAATTTACTTCTAATATTACAAAGTAAACAATTTCTTTTCTTTCAAAACTCACTTATTATCCACCTCTCCAGCTTGTCAAGGGACAGATATTCACATCTCATCTGCAAATAAATAATTTTTAAAACAAGAAGAGAATGAGTATTAGTCTAGCCAAAAAATGACTATGTGGAAATAAAAACCTAGAGAATCTTGAATGATAGTATGATACTGTGATGGATCTGCATGGAATGCCCCCCAGGGAGTGGAGAATGTGCACAGAAAATTGTTGCAATTCAATTCAAATCAACTCTTTTTTAATTTGCAATAAAAATACATATTACCAATAACATCAAATTAAAAGAATACATTCATAGTATAAATGGGAGGTACTATTTTTTTTTTAAATACATAAAATATGTTATAATCATTGCAAGAGTGGGAAGCTGCCAGAAAGGTGAAGCTCTTATTAATGGCCGACCAAATTAAATGCTTATATGTAGAGAAAATAGTGTTGTAATTGTTAATAAAAAGTGTACAGAAAACCAATACTGGTACATAACAAAATGACAACATAAAGCATAACAGAACACAACAATTAATAACAAAGAAAAATGGTTAACTTAGTATTTGTGTCATAAGTATTTATGACATTTTTGTGTATAGTGAAATGATAGTGACAACGTTGTCTTACAACTCACCGTTTCACTTTGGGCTGGATTGAGAAGGACGTTAGGCTTGGCTACCAGGCTAAGCATCTCCTGTGACCTCCACTGCTCGGCTGTCAGGTTACGACGTGGGTAGAGGTGGAGGAGTGAGAACAGAGCCGAGGCTACACACTGCAGGTTGGGTAGGATGGATAAACAGTAAACCAAACGTTAACAAAAATCATTAGTTTGTTATGAGGCTACACACTGCCAGTTGGGTAGAATGAATAAACATTAAACCAAATGTTAAAACTTATCATTAAGTTATAAGACAAATCAAAGGCCAACTTGAGTTCTGTACATGGGGTTTCATGTTGTTCTTTAGTTTATTCATGCTGCTTAACCGTTGACCCATAGGATGCTAAGTTAAGTTTTTTAAAAATTAAAGTTGATTTGATGCATTTTAGCTTTACAAAAGTCAAGTTTTAGTGTGATTGGTACACTTTAAGGATTGCATTTCACTGCATTTACTGCATATAATTTGATATATTGAATAATCCAAGAATGAACAGCATCAATTAATGATGACTCTTGATGATATGAATGGTAGCATAGACTAAAGAGTGGATTTTTAGTATTTATCACTTACTCTCTCCAACGGGATGAATTCCTCTGCAAGCTTCTTCATTGGATGCTCGTACTCCATGATCATGGTTCCAAGACGGGCAAACGAGGGCTCACTGCAATAAAGAAAAATATCCTCTTTTACTTGATTGAAATTTGTGACTTTGTGTATTACTGTTCAAGCTCTTTCCTGCATTATAAATCTAGAAAGCTTGGATTCACTCAACAATATAAATTCGCAAACAATCAGATCAATAGCTTGAAAGAATATATAATAGAGTTGCAAAATCAATCAGTATTTTATATTCTAAGGAGATGTTCATCATATACCTGAAGAAAAAAACAGTCTCCATTAGACTTAATTCTAGATTCTTAGCTAATCATTGATATTTGTATATACTTGAAGCTTCCCTTTTTTAATTTCCCTTAATTTAATACTATGCTAGTCTTACTGCAATTGTATTTGTTTCCATCTTGCCTCATTGTTTATTTGAGAGTACACTGTAAATACCAGATCTCAACACTACATGTTAGATTGTATACCTTCTTTGATTGGCTAGATCATAGGCTCGACACTACATGCTAGATTGTATACCTTCTTTGATTGGCTAGATCATAGGCTCGACACTACATGCTAGATTGTATACCTTCTTTGATTGGCTAGATCATAGGCTCGACACTACATGTCAGATTGTATGCCTTCTTTGATTGGCTAGATCATAGGCTCGACACTACATGCTAGATTGTATACCTTCTTTGATTGGCTAGATCATAGGCTCGACACTACATGTTAGATTGTATACCTTCTTTGATTGGCTAGATCATAGGCTCGACACTACATGCTAGATTGTATACCTTCTTTGATTGGCTAGATCATAGGCTGTGTTGTAGAGGCCCAGCATGGCTTTCCTGTCTTCCACCCTGGCCAACAGGAGTAAGATGGAGACATACTTCACGATGAGGTCTAGGTAGTTCCTGGTCATGTCAAAGTTACATGTCTAGAATAGCAAATGAGAAAAGAGGGAAACAATAGGATCAATGCAATAGTTACGGTATAGAATACCGAAGGATGATGTCATACTGGCCAAGTTGTCAAGGTTGCTGGTTCCAAACAATTGTGTGCTAAACAATGGTGTGGTCATCACACCAGTGCCAAATACTGAATTTGCCCTGCTCCAGCCCGTTGCTTGAATTATTTTGCAGTGAACCTCATGTACAGGCTCTGTTGTTTAGAACCAGAAATCTGCATGATGAGGGAATATGATGTTACCACTTTGGTACTCTTTAGTACTCTATGCATGTTAACTTGCAACGTGCTAACTGTCATTGCATCTACAAGAAAAGTTACAAATGATCAGTTTGATGAATATTTAAAGAATTCTACTTTTTGCACATTTCATATTTGCACAGACTACAAACTACACAATTACATGATAAGGAGGCTGGACATTAACTGCAATTGTAAACATCCAAGAACATAATTTCTAGGGAGGATTGAAACTACGCGACTAAAAAATAATGACAGTTGTACAGGTCTACAACTTTATTTTCAGGGTTTAAAGAAATAAGTTTATGACTATATCATGTACATTAAATGGAAATTTGTACTTACAATATCCAGGTTGGTGTTGCATGTTGCTATAACCGTCATTAATTCAGAGACATGATCCTGGTAAGTGAAATAAAGTACATAATATATAATTGTCCTCTTGATCACAAGTTTATTCATTCATCCTCTCTCTTTCCTTTTTTTTGTACATTTAGTCAATTTCATCTGTTTTACACATCTTGTCTATCTGTTTTTTCTTGCTTATATCAATCCTTTCCTTCCTTTCCGTTTCGGTTTAATAAAATTTGGAGTGGACTATTAGGCTATTATTATTATTATTACAGGGCGCGACAAACCCGCTTGCCCGACGTCCCGGGGCAACCAAATTGAGCCGTCGGGCAAGTAAATCAAATTATCACTTGCCCGATTCGGGCAAGTGATACTTTTACAGTAATTTCCTAGTGTCCAAGAACTCTACCATTCACCCGTCAACTTCTTACCCGTCGTCAAAATCCAGAAGCAAAAAAGCGATCGTTCCGATTTCGAAAAAACTTCACAGACAGCTAGCCAGCTCAGCTAGCTCAGCGCGCATGCAAGTTCAGTGACACTTCAAGCCATGAATGCCGCTCCGCCTCCACGCACGGCCGGCCGTGAGCTAGCTAGAGACAGCTAGCGCGATCGTACCAGCTGCGAGCTTATTCGCGCTCTCTCTCTTTAGCTCTGCAGGCCGCACCGACAGGCCTTTGCTATTCTCTGATTGCCGATTGGTTGAATCACGCCAAATATGACGTCATTATTCTAGGGAAATGAACACGTGCGAATCGGAATGGAATAAACAACAGGGATTTTCTAGTAAGTACAAAAAGTCAAATGTTTGATATTTATTCATAATGACTGTTAATGATTGTGAACATATTATTTAAAACTCGCTGCTCATATAAATCAGATGAATGTTTTTGTCTCGTTTTCAATTTATTACTGCGGTCTCAAGATCCGACCGAGCGAGTCATTTTGATAATAGTATCGAGACCCCCAGAATATAAGCCGTTGTTGTTTTGTTTTCATGGTTTTAGCGACGTTGTTTAGTCTAGTTTTCGCATACTTATCCGAGATTTATCGTAAAATATCTTCAATATTATTATTTAGTAAGAATTTACAAATTTTGGCATGATATTTATAGCAGTGAATGATGAAATAAAAATGTCCGTACTTTATTTAAAATAGTTGATTACCCATTATTTACATGACGTTTCTTGATGGAAGAGTTGACCCAAATTATTAACAGCTGAAAATTGGCCTACGTTTCCAAATGACAGCGGCTTGCACAGACACACATGTGATGTTGCACCATGGTACATGTGGCTACCATTAATGACATGTTTGTATCATATTTTTTACAACAGGGTCATTATGCTTTTTTACATGACTGAATATTAAAAACTTAAACCTGCTTGAACCATTCTACCTTGCCGAGATTCATGTGAATCTGATTATTTATGGAGAATCAATAAAATGCGTTTTTTAAACCTTCAATCATCCTTTGTTGACCATTTTCTTTGACTTAATTATTAGGTTATTATTCAGTACAGTTACACTGTACATGTATGTGCATTAATTTGCTATCTAAAACACTAACTTATCATTACGAGATAATAAATGCTTTAACCTCGAGTCCTTTTTCGCTTTAAAGTTTTGGGCAAGTGGAAATATTGTTTGGGCAAGTAAATTGAAAACCCACTTGCCCGACAGGGCAAGTGGTGAAAAAAATTCTTGTAGCACCCTGTATTATTCTAGTTTTCTCTCAATATTTATTTAGGATTTTTATATCATGTTCTGAGAAACGTTCATTTGTACATAAAACCGTTTTTTAAAGAAAAAATGTATTAAAGCTTTCAAAACTGAGAATTATCAGCCCAGAGTAAAAAGAAAAAAAAAGATTTCCGACCGACCGACCGACCCATGTTTTGGCACTTTAAGGGCAATACAACATCTTTTTTTCTTTAGGCCTAATGATAACCAACATACCTTGTATTCTAAGATATCTCTGAATGTCATGTAGTATACACTGAGCACCTTGAGAATCTCTGCTTTCCTGGTGTCTATGGGACTCAGCTGGCCCTGGGTTACAAAGCGTTCATAAAAAGAGAAGTAGACTAATGATAATAATAATAATGATAATTAATATTAACAATAGAAAAAGAACAACAACAATAATAATAATAACAACAACAACAACAACAACAACAACGATTATAATTATAATAATAATAATAATAATAATAATACAATTATGATAATGATGATAATGATAACAAAATGTTATTTGAAACATAAAATCAGCCATAAAAGCAATGAAAATCATAGAGTTCTTGCAATGTATAACTTAAAATAAAAATGTCATTGCTTTTCTCTGATATCTGATTGATTCTCCAATTCACTTTGTTAATAAAAAAACACACAATCAGATCAGATACTGATAGTATTTTACACCAAAAATGTACAACATATATAAATTTAAAAAAATATTAGCAATGTATTTTCTAAATTTATAATATTTCTTATTTTATCATATAGATCATATTTGTTCTTTGCAAAGTGAACATGTTCCATTAATTTGAAAATTTGGCACTCTATACAAAATGTCTCCATCTATTGCAGAATTTTAAAATTATAATAGCTTGACATTTCCCAGCATGGAATTTTCACAAATCTGGACCACTTGTGAAATTCGCAAAAGTTTCTATTTTGACAGTATGTGAAGCAAAGAGACTTGTTTCATACTCACATGTGAGTTCTTTTCCGTATGAGGAAATTTTTTGACGATACTCTTGAGACATGATTCCAGACTCTTCTCAGAGAGGAATGCGGGACGAGACTTTGGATCCTGGCAAGCCTAATAATGGAAGAAAAAAAAAGTCACATTTACTGTAGATGCTGGGGCCAGTTTCATGAAACCATTACAAGTCTAAGTTCTTGGACAATGGACATTATCATCATCATTTATTAAAGACAGCATGTTCCCTCTTATGTTGGGTTACTGACTTTGGCGCCATAATGACACTCCCTCCCTCCACTTTTCCTTGGGAGTATTTTTCGGATAAATATTTTTGGATATCTACCGTAATGTCTCAGATCCTCATTACGGTAGATAACTTCACACAAGCACGCGCGCCCGCCCGCAACCCACCATCGGTATGCACTTGTATATTGTGCAGCGGTTTGCTGTGAAAACTGTGAAAAAGTGTATACTAATATCAACACTTATCAGAAAAATACTCCAAAAATAACAAGAAAATTGACACGAAACAGGTAATAAACATAACGACTTTTAACTTGTGATCTTTATTTGGACATTTAATGAATATTTACTTCATTTTGGGTATGTTTTAGTAGGGTATGTCCACGCCGGAGTTACGGGTCAAATTTTGGATAGGTTTCTGAACAAGCGCCCCCTTCCACCTACCCCTCGTTTCTAGGAATTCTAGCCCTTCTCTATCTCAAGTTCCAATGGTCATGCTGAAGTACATACTTTGTAGACCTCTAGTTGGTATTCCTTGTTATTTACTGCCTGTAGCAGATACCAGTAATACAATCCAGAGTTTAATGGGGCCAACTCGGACCAGGGGACAACTCGGCCCAGCTGCAAAAACTGTCATTTTTTGTCATTTTACTTTAACTCTAACCCTAACTCTAACCCTAACCCTAACCCTTACCCTAACCCTAAACCTTACCCTAACCCTAACCCTAAAGCTAAACATGCAAAAAATGACCGTTTTTACAGCTGGGCCGAGTTTAAACCGAATTTTCCGTCTCTTTCGTTCGTTAGCCTCTTATTGGGGTAGGGTCGGCTCTCTCTCTTTTGAAACAGAAACCGTTTATACACATTCCCTTGTTAATGCCACGGCCATTTGAGGCCATATTTTTATGCCCCCAAAATCCCCCAAAATGTCATTTTACCTCATGCATATCCGATGCATTGATTATTCAAAATTAGGCCTAGGCAATAATAAATCGGTTCCACTTACCAACTTGACTGAAATAATCCGTTTAATGGTCCATTTTTAGGAAATTATGGGTCAAAATCGAAATCCATGTTGAAAATCTTGTAAGACGTATTTTAACTCTCGCTGCGCATGACGTCATCTAAATCTCATCCCTTCTAGTCTACGCCAAAGGCAAATTGATTATGAAGGAAAAACTATGTGCGAGCTACATGTTTGTAATGGCATTATCACAGTTTTTCTTCAAAATCATTCTGCCTTCGGCATAGACTAGAAGGGATGAGATTTAGATGATTTCATGCGCAGCGAGAGTTTTGCAAGATTTTCAACATGGATTTCGATTTTGACCCATAATTTCCTAAAAATGGACCATTAAATGGATTATTTCAGTCAAGTTGGTAAGTGCAACCGATTTATTATTGCCTAGGGCCTAGACCCTAGGCCTAATTTTGAATAATCAATGCATCGGATATGCACGAGGTAAAATGACATTTTGGGGGATTTTCGGGGCATAAAAATATGGCCTCAAATGGCCGTGGTGTTAGCAAGGGAACGTGTATAAACAGTTTCTGTCTCTAAAGAGAAAGCCGACCCTACCCCATAAGAGGCTAACGAACGAAAGAGACGGAAAATTCAGTCTAACAGTTAGACTAGGCCGAGTTGTCCCCCCGGTCCGAGTTAGCCCGACTCCTTCTCTATCTAAGTTAGACCTATCTCCTGATTGCCAGTCAAAATCAAAGAAAAAATATCTGAAATAGTTAGTCAAGAAGACTCGAAATTTTGAGGACAAAATTAATAAGCCGTAGGCCTAAATTGTTAGTCTGCACGTCTAATTCATTTGTAGCATTATTCATGCACACTCAGTCGAGCTAGCTCATGAGCTAAGCTCAGTGCAGTGATTAAGCTCACGGAGATTAACAACAGAGCTGCTTGCATCTCGATCTCACGATCTTGTTTACGTTACCTTTTTTATGTTGTATAATCTTGCAAGCATTCCTGAGCCACGTTCATTCAGAATAGATAGCTTTTCAGCCAGCTTAAGCTGGCCTTGAGATACAGGCATCCTGCTTGACATATCAGACCAAAAACAACGACATAAATTTGTTATTTAGTTCCTACTCCCACAGCATTTGGGTCTGAACGGTGAAGGTGCGGTCAAATGTACTGTACGTATTCTGCATATACGCGGATCTTAGTCGAGGAACCTAGTTGATTGTTTTTCAACCAGGAAGCAAATCGATCAAAACAATTTAAAGATTTTTATCATTAAACATATCTAAATTTAATTATAGAGTACACAAATTATCAAATTTAATCTTAACAAGCTAATTTTGAACAACATTTACAATCTATAGTACTAAGTATAAACTCATTGTCTTAAATTGTTATTTATTCATATCTAAAATCGGCAATATCATCGTACTAATAATGAATCGGAGGTAACTTCAGCTCGTGAATGCGGAAGGAAAGAATAACACAGTATCAGAGTAATCCGATCGGGATGCCGTGGGTGTGTAACTAATTTGCCAAAATACCTGGCCAAAATACCAGTGCGCGTGGATTCTAACAAAAAGTTGATGTATTTAGGAGGGCTCGTAATTTCTCTAAACTATACTAATAATTAAAGATTAATCTCGTAGTCTTTTAATTAACAGGAAAGGGCGGGCTGGCGGCTAAAAAGAGATGGTCATATGGCCAGATTGGGGCGGGGGGGGGGGGGGGGGGGGTCGGTTGCATCCGAGCTGACAGTATAGTAACACTAATTGGCACCACCACAACGTGACAACCACCATTACCAACCGCCATCCCATTTTCCCCCAAGAAATAAGCAGATGTCGACAACATCCGCATCATGGTCTTCTGAACACTTTAAAATATGGGTTCACACTTAACTAATTACTGAGGGAGTCCCAGAATGTGTCAATGATCGAATTCCTTTATAAATAAGGGGGGGGGGGGGGGGCCTAAGGCGGGTAGGGGGCGGGGCAGTGTATCTGTTGTTGTTTTTGTTGTTGTTATTTGCGTGTATCATTCATTTATGAATATTTACGCCGAATTCAAGTTGCATTAAAGGTAAGTTTTGGTATGGGGTCTTGAATTTGGTTCAATGAACATAATTGCAAGCATTATGGGTGTCGATCCCGGGGGGATGGGGGGATATACCCCCCCCCAATATTTCAGGTGGGGGGTGGCCTGTACAATCACCCCCCCCCCCCAATAATTCACCATTGAAAAAATGAAGATAAAAATTAATGATGAGAGCCCGATGAGAGTATAGTTAATGGTTATTATACTCGCAAGATGACCATCAATATACACATTTTACTATCTCATTTTCATAATACATACGTAAATGAGACAACTGTATATGAGACAAGAATAAATTGAATTCTCGCTCATACAGCTTCATCAGGAATTGATGAATTTATTCAATTCATTCAATCAACAGCATCATAGAAATGCAGTGCGCCAAATGCAAAGCCACAGCGTTAAAAAGCAACGAGCTAAAATGTTAAGCGCGAAGCGCAAAAGTGCAAAAAAGAAGTAGAGAGTGGGAGAGAGAGATAATGAGAGACAGAGAGGATACAGGCGCGTAGTCCGAGGGGGGTGGTTGGGGCGGTCGCTCCCCCCCCCCAAAAAAAAAAACCACGCCCCCCCCAAACAAAAAATAAGAGAGAGAGAGAGAGAGAAAGAATAAAGGAAGAGGACGTAGGAAGAAAAAGGATTAAGAGCCGAGAACGGAACAACGAATCGTCTTCTTTCTCTAATAATGTAATGAAACGTCAAAAGAAACTGAATGTAGACAAGGATTAAGAGTATAGAACGGTAAAACGAATCGTCTTCTTTCTCTAATAATTTAATGAAACGTCAAAGCTTCCGAGCTTTGCGCGGGAAGGGGGGGGGGAACTGAATTAAGACAAGGATTAAGAGTTTAGAATGGTACAACAAATCGTCTTCTTTTTTTAATAATTTAATGAAACGTCAAAAGAAAATGAATTTAGCAAGGATTAAGAGTCGAGAATGGTAAAACGAATCGTTTTCTTTCTCTAATAATTTAATGAAACGTCAAAGCTTCCACGCGGGAAGGGGGAACTATATTCAGATACGGATTAAGAGTCGAGAACGGTACAACGGACCGTCTTCTTTCTCTAATAATTCAATGAATCATCAAAGCTTCCGCGCTTCGCGCGGGAGGGGGGGCCGAATTCAGATAAGGATTAAGAGTCGAGAACGGTGCAACGAATCGTCTTCTTTCTCTAATAATCTAATAAATCATCAAAGCTTCTGCGCTTCGCGCGGGAGGGGGGAACTGAATTCAGATAAGGATTAAGAGTCGAGAATGGTACAATGAATCGTCTTCTTTCTCTAATAATTTAATGAAACATCAAAGCTTCCGCGCTTCGCGCGGGGCGGGGGCAAGCTCCCTTCCCTGTACCTACCCCCTAGGGACCGCGCTTCTACAGGATAATAACCCAGGTAGCAAGCCCATGTGGGAACCACATGGGTCCCAAATTCTCTGAAATGTTATCGTTATTGAGGGTGACTTGAAAAAAGTGAATAACTTGGAAGGGAGGGGTGCAACCTGCCACACGCTTCTACCTCTTGGTTGCTTTGATCCATTGCCGAAAATATTTTGGCACCTATCATCCCCCCCCCCAACCACGGAAACAAATCGACACCATTGAAATATTGTAGGATCGCATATGCTTAGCATATGCGATCCTACAATATTCAGTGATCGTTAATTGTTGTGGTTGAAATCGAGTCTAAAGTTATGAAATTGTAAATATTAAACTCAGATTAACTCAACTTAAAACCGATCTTAGTTTTTGTAAACCATCCCCCTGATCAATAAAAAAACGTGTGCATGATCTACACCCGGTAATTTTTATTTTCAATTTTTATCGAAAGCAGAAGTGTTTTAGGGGCTAAATTTTCTAGTGCTTATAATAAATCCACAGGGACATCCAAATATATCAAAATTGTAAAGAATCACTATCCACCCTATTTCCAAAATTTTCCAAAACTTTGAATTACCTTTTAAATGGAAGCAGAAAAGAGAAGGGGAAAAAATCTAGGCTAGTTGTTCATTTTTTTAGCATTTTGCGGAGATTCCAGACAGGCTGTCTACATAAAATCATTGACCGTTTTGTGTGTATCTTCAGGCCAGCGCGGTTCGGTACTTTGAACAGGCTTCTCGGCTTGCATGTTCATGCGCAGCCTAGGCCCCTCAAATGGTTCTAGGAAACCTACCCCTGGACCAGTGGCGGATCCAGGGGGGGGGGGGGCGAGGGGCCCAGGCCCGACCCTGGGGAAAAAAGTGTAAAAACACGTTAATTTTACCTTGTATTGCAGATGGGCCCCCTCCCCTGGCGCTCAAGGGGGGGGGGGGGGGGGGGGGGGTTGCGAGTTTTAAAATTTTCGAGGACCTCCCCCGAAAAAAAAGAATAGTTTTAACTACCCCTCCCCCCTTATCGGCCGGCTGTTTCACCGCTAAATATTTTCTCACGACTTGGGCCCCGGCTGAATCTGCCTCTGCCCTGAACATCCACCCCCAGATAATCACCCCCAGTCAACTACCCCCTAGGACAACTACCCCCTAGGGTAACCACCCTCTAGGACGACTACCCCTAGGGCAACCATCCTCTAGGACAACTACCCCCCGGACAACTACCCCCCCCCCAGACAACAACCCCCTAGAACAACTACTCCCGGACAACTACCCCCTGGACAACTAACTCCTAGGACAACTACCCCCGGACAACTACCCCCAGACAATTTAAACCATTAACCGGCGAAAACACTACTTGTACTTGATTTCTATCCAATGTAATTCTATTGAGAGTTGCTGAACTCTACCAAATAAATACATGTATATTGAATTGTAGATAGAACTTGTATTCAGTTGCTTCATTTAAAGACTCCTCATCTTAAATCCGATCCCAACACGACATGGTGGAGGACCCGGTTTGTAGAATTTTATTCCTTCTACTTATTGTGAGGAGGACCAGTAACTTTAGTGAACAATCTCTTGTCGGCTGAAAACGACATCGTACACAACATGGTGTCAAAGCACCCTATCCCCCAAACAAAACACATTCTCAAGTGCCCCACCGCCCCTCACCCTTCTCTGGGCAGTATCTAAAAGCTACTTTCTACAAAATAAAAGAAAACTCCTGCACTATGATAATGGGCTTGCTTGGTCTACTTAATGTCTCAGTGGCGTAGCCTGGATAAGATCAGTGGTGGTGGGGCAATATTTCCAACAAGAAGGACAAATTACGCTGGGATTATTATGTGTGTAATGTGTTACTTCTTGTTATGGCCACCACAGGAGCGGGGGATGCCTTTTAATAATTATCAAAGATAAAAGGTAAAATTTACCTACTTAAAAAAAGACAAATATTCAAAGCCATGTGTCGCCCCCACACCTACGCTATAGCCGTGGGGGTGTCCTCCATCCAATATTTCCCTTTGTTATTAGCATTTTGTTATTGCTTAGGCCTATTTAATTTTTAAGAATAACGACTCTCAATCCGTATTATGAATAACGGCCCTAACTCTATATTATGAATAGTGACCCTCATTTCGTATTATGAATAGCGACCCTCTTCTCCTATTATGAATAGCAACCCTCATTTCGTATTAAGAATAGCGACCCTATACTCGTATTATGAATAGCGACCCTTATTTCGTTTTATGAACAGCAACCTTCATTTCGTATTATGAATAGCGACCCTCTAATCCTATTATGATTAACGCCCCTCATTTCGTATAATGAATAGCGACCCTCTCCTCGTATTATGAATAGCGAAACTCCGCTCCTATTATGAATAGCGACCCTCATTTCGTATAACGATATTATGAATAGCGACCCTCTACTCCTGTCATGAATAGCGTCCCTCATTTCGTATTATGAATGGCAACCCTCTTCTCATTTTATGAATAGCGACCCTCTTATTGAGTTTTGAATGGAGACCCTCATTTCGTAATATGAATAGCGGTCCTTACGAGTAATAACCCTCAATATAAATTATAAATAGCGGTCCTTATGAACAGCGGCCAGACCCCGCCTGTATACCCGAGCAGAATCATAGTGCTCAACAATAAAGACCCACAGTCTTCGGTAAAGAGGTCCATTATTTGTTTGTTTATTTAGGGTTTTTTTTAAAATCA